TATCAGAGATTTGGTTTTGATACTGGTGTTATGTTAAAATACAGTTATCCATTCCCTTTAAAATCTGATTTAAAACATGTAAGACCATCTCTCTAAGAAGAGATTCTGAGACTTCCACAGACTAACCCAGATATCATGGCACAAAGAAAGATAAGACCTTAGTCTAAAAGAAGAGTTTTTATATATGATTCATAATTGTTCTGTATTTTGTAAGTATCAGGTTTTGAGTGTGGTAGCCCTCAGTGTTGCCAGAAGAGCAACAAAAAAAGTCAAAGTTCACTAATGCCCAAGTGTGCCCCCAGAACTGCCTGGCCTTGGGCTGATGGACAGGTCTAAAAGGATGGGAACAGGGTCAAGAGCATCCCAAGCCTTAGGTACTAAGTGAGTCTGACTTCCATTTAGGACATGGAGGTTGCAATGGTCTCCTTATGGTATGTCCCCTCCAAAACTCATGTTGAAATTTGGTCCCCATTATGAGATATTAAGAGATGAGATGAAGTGGGACCTTGAAGAGGTAATTAGAATATGCTCTCGTGAATGGATTAATCAATATGATAAATAGATTAAAGGATTAATGGGTTAGTGAGTTATCTCAGTCATGGGTACTTCAATGGCCAGTTTGGCTAAGCCTCTCACCTGATCCCTGTCTCTTGCCTTGTCATGTGCACCACCTCAGGATTCTGCCAGCAACAAGTCCCTCCCTAAACGGTCCTTAGACCTTGGATCAGATCTCTGAGGCCAAATAGACCTCTTTTCTGTAAGGCATACCAATCTGTGGTATTGTATCATTAGCAACAGAAAACAGACTAAGACAGGGGTGGAGACAACAGGTCCAATAATAAAGATAGCTTGATAAGTTCCTAGAGGTGTTTCCTTGGGGAAGAAATTCTCTGTGATTGAAACTTGAGAAAGGAGACAGTGTTAACTGAACTGCTGCAACATTCCTGGGGTTCATCCAGACTCCGAGAGACTGACAGGTAAGCAGTGTGAACCTCACCTTGGGGAGTTCATGGTCCAATATGGAAGGTTCCCAACTGCTCCCCCAGTCGTTAGCCAAGGTAAGATGTGGTTGGTGCCAAGGCAGAGAAGTCGCTTCTAGATAACGACAATGCACGAGACTCTTCATAGTTTACAAACTGCTTCCATCCTCACGGTGGTCTAATATCCCCCTTTTAAAGATGAGGAAACTGAGGCATAGAGGGCAAATAATGTCACTTCTCTGCATTTCAGCCTGTTCATCCATCATCATAATGGTGCCAAACTGTTCAGGTTGGTGTGAGAATTACAAGTTGGTATATAAGAAGCATTTAACTCACTGCCCAGTATACAGTAGGTGCAATCCATGCATTTAGTGGTTGATATTGTTATGGACCTACCACCCCAGAATCTAACGCTCACCAGCACCCCTGTCTCTCCACCGCAATGCCTTGTTTTATTTCCTGCGTAACACTCGTCTATATGCTTGTCTCTCCCCATCCACGCCTTGAGGACAGGAACCTCGTCTGTAGCCTCAGTACCCCAGACATGGTGGCTTTCCATAGATACTGGGTAAATCTGTGAGTGACTAAGAAAAGCTGCTGGAGTTTTGATTTCAGGAACTCTAGTTAATCTCAAGCCATGACTTGAATGTGAAGCATGGGAAATGATCTGGAAATGCCACACACCTCACTAGGCACGGCGTGGCCACAGACTATGGCACCACCTAGAACCCCGTATCCTCCAATGGCCCCTTCCTCCCTGGGCTATGTTTATTGTCTGCTCCTGATAAACTCTGCTTGAATCTTTTGATAAAACACAAGGCGATTTTTAATTTCCTTGACAGTTCAGGAAGGTACTTAAAGGCGGGAACTAAGGTAGTTCAGAGTCCCCACCGAGGGCCAGGCATCTGGTGGGTGTTCATATGAACGAATGCATGCGGGCATGAATAATAGATGTCCCTTGGATAAGTGGCCACATATAATATACAACATCTTGTTTGATTTGAATTTCAGATAAATGTTGAATACTATTTAAATATGTACCATAGTACGACATGGGATATACTTCTACTAAAAAATAACTTGTTATTTGAATTTTAAGTTTAACTGGATATCATGTGTTTTTATTTACTAAGGCTGACAACCTATATCAGAGGTACCTACAACAAGTGACAGAAAGGGGTCACAAGACAAAGAGGTCAAGCTTAAATACAAGAGGACTGGACTTAGCTGGAGGGGTGGGCACAGCCAGTGACACCATGGAAGAATAATGAATTCTCAAGTGTGGCCTTGAAGAACCTGGCCCAGGAAGGTGGCCAAGGATCGAGGATGAGCCCCTCTACCTCTGACCTCATAAAGGGACAGTCAGAGGAGGCTTAGGGAGGACAATATGAAAGGGAATATGAGAAGGTGACCTTGGATAAGCAAGTTCTTTGATTTCATACTCTGGCACACACGGTTGAGCACATAATAGGTCCTCAAGAAAAATGTGTTCATGTTAAGTGAAATCAACCAAACTCAGAAGGTCAAGGGTACTATGTTTTCTTTCATATATGGAAACTAGAGAGGAAAAGGGAAAAGAAAGGTGGGAGGTGGATCTCATGAAAATCAAAGGGAGCTGGGTGTGGTGGCACACACCTATAATCCCAGTGGCTCCCACTCAGGAGGCTGAGACAGGAGGATCACAAGTTCAAAGCCAGCCTCAGCAAAAAAAGCAAGGCGTTAAGCCACTCAGTGAGACCCTGTCTCTAAATACAATACAAAATAGGGCTGGGGATGGGGCTCAGAGGTCCAGTGGCCCTGAGTCAATCCTGGGTATAAAAAAAAAAGGAAAGAAAGAAAGAAATTCAGGGAGATCAGTAGAGGAAAGGGACCAAGGGGTGGAAGGTAGGGAGGGAGGAAGGGAGTGACATTGGCCAAATTGTACTGTTATATTGTGTATTGTGTGCATCTGTGAATATGTAACAATAAATCCCATCAGTATGTACGACTTAATGCACCAACTAAAAATGGGGGGAATGTGCTCTCTCTCTCTCTCTCTCTCTCTCTCTCTCTCTCACACACACACACACACACACACACACACGCTGCAGCCCATTCCATTTTCTTCCCCAAGCTAAACATATGCTTTAGGGCCCAGCACCGTGTGGGGCGCTGTGTTTGAAATCAGACACAGCTTCTTCCAAAATGGAAAAGCAAACCAGGAAAAACAAAACAAAAAAAACTGTCCCATAGATTTCTACAAAATTGTGGGATTTTTCAAATTTAGCTATTATGGGAAATTTCAAGCATCCACAAAAGTAGAGAAAAGAGTAGGCAGAGCCAAGGCCTCCGTCACCTGAGATAGCAACTGACCCCTGTGCATCTGTGGCCCCTCCTCGGCCACCTGCCACACTCACTTACCCTGTGCGGGTTCAAAGCCAACCCCAGATCATGTCATTCTATCCAGCTTTACACCTCTGAGCTGCTTATGCACCCCCAGCCCCCTGGGAGATGGGTACTGCAATCCCTTCTCACTCTTGTGAAACTGAGGCTCGGGGATGACATTCCGAGTGACAGAGCTGCAGAGTGGAGCTCTTACACTGCTCCCGGTCCCCTGGGCCCTGAGTCACACCTTGTACCATGAGGTGCCAGGTCAAGCCACAGGCAGAGCCAAGCCAGCCCTCCTCCTCTCCAACCCCAACCCAGGCCTCTGCATGGCTAGACTTTGATCCTGGTCGGGTCAGAATTCCAGACAGGCCTTGCAGGCCGCCCCGACAGCACGATTGATGGGTTGTCACTGATGTCAGGCCTTGTGGGTCAGCCTGGGCCTGGGCAGGGCGTGTAGAACCCACTGTCAGTGGTGATGGGAGCCAGGGGTCTGGACCCGCTGCTTGGACAGGGACCAGGCTGGGGCTCCTCTCCTTGGGGCAGCTCTGGAGGCCAGGGCTACTAGTCAGGCGAGACAGCAGGTGCTGACCAGTCCCTGCACTGAGTGCAGCAACCTGGGCACCCAGATGACCTTGGCGACATCCTCCCTTCCTCTCAGGGTCTCTGCTCATCAATAACAAACAAAAAAGGAGATTGGATGGCTGAACCAGAGCAGGTTCTTTTGTAAAGGGGAAGACAGCGAACACACTAGGCTTTTCAACTCTGCTATTGGCAGAAAAGCAGCCACAGACAATACCTAAAAGAATGCGCCTGGTGATGTTCCAATAAAACTTTATTGACCAAAACAAGTGGGGGGCCGGATTGGACCTCAGGCTGCAGATTACTGACCCTTGGGCTAGAAGGTCACTAAAGGCTCTTTGAGCTCTGAAAATTATGTGACTTGATAAGAAGCTCTATATTAGAGGTCACATTCATAACATAAATGAATAAGTTAAATGCCAGCACAACGCACTATGGAGTAGTAAGGAGTGCGGCAAATTGGACAACTCAGGTTTTCACTAAGGAGGGATGGGGTGTGGCCTCTACTGGGCTCCACTCATCACTGTCAGGTGGTAATGCAGACCCACCTGCTCCCAGATGGAAATAATCATTCTTTTAAAAAGTGACACATGTTCTCTTCAAAAAATATGGATTACCTAATTTTGAAATGTTGGCTACTAATTCAAGCTGTTTAAAACAGTGAGAAGTCCCATCCCATCACACACACAGCAGCAGGCCCTGTCGGGCCCAACAGCCACCCGTTTGCAAGCTCTGGCCTGAATTTGTAGTTTTTCTTCCTCTTTGGAAACTATGATAGTCACTTGCAAAAGCACAGAGATTCTTTGGGAGTCTCAACCTCAGGGTGCTGTTCTGTTCTCCTTCTCCCCCAAGCACTGCACAAGTCCACAGCCGGATGGAAAAGTAACAAACTTGAAAAGGGAAGGCTCCCAGCCCAGGAGCCTTCAGGAGCTCCCAAGGGCTTAGCCCAGGCATTTCCCTGCAGGTCAAGTTTGGCACCAGCCCTGGACCGTGACCTGTCAGGCCTCATGCCTGTGACGTGTAGGGACACGGCAGCTTCTCCACCTGGGAGGGAAAAAAGCAAGAACAACCCACCTGATCTCAAGTCCCAGAATGGCTGGCCAGTTCAGGCCCCTAAGACCTGTCCCTCTGAGTAGAATCCTGCATGGCTCTTGTACATCACCATCTTCCTGGAGGGGACCAAAGGGGTCAGGGTCTTCAGCGTCCGTGAGGGCTTCATTGCCAACTGTCTCCGTGGCATCATCCCACCAAGATGTAATATTACTCAGCCTTAAAAAGGAAGAAACTTCTAACTCCTCAGGCTACAATATGAGTGGACCTTGAGGACATTAGACTCAGCGAAAGAAGCCAGGAAAATACTGTAGAATTCCACTTATGTGACTAAGACGCCTACAAGGGTCAAGTCACAGACACAGAAAGTAGAATGGAAGTTGCCAGGGATGGGAGAGGGGGAAGGAGTTAATATTTGATGAATGTGGAATTTCTGTTTTGCAAGGTGAAAAAATTCTAGAGGCTAGTTACAAAACATGGTGAATCTAGTTAAGATTGCAGAACTGAATGCTTAAAAAATGGTGAAGATGGTAAATTTCAGATGCTCTATACTTTTAACAGCTAAAAGTAAAAATTTTAAATGAACCCATTTTGAGTGTAAAGTTCTTCCTTGGGCTTTGACAAATGTTAATGTCGCCCCAACCAAAAGAGGGACATTCTCATCACCCTGGAAATTCCCCTCAGGGCCATTTACATTCTACATTGTTTTAAAATGTCTTATTTTATTAAAATTTAATTAATTTTCAGTGGGAATGGTATCCCCTCTGCCCTGGGGTCTTTCCAAGCCCAGGCCACAAGGAGTTGTTGCACACCCAGGGTCTCTTCCTGACCCTGGGGGCCCCACACAGGCCTTTTCCAAGGTGTCTGGTGGTGGGTGGTGTGAGGGGATCACAGGAAGGACTTCTTCATTTCTAACCAGCTACCCAGGTATTGAAAACAGCATCATTGAACCTACACACACATACACACACACACACACACACACACACACACCAGCAAAGGCCCAGCCACTGGTCAATCTTCCATGCACTATAAATTTGCCAAGCCAGATTGCTCTTCAAAGCCACCCTACACCGGGCCCCAATGTCCTACCTGGAGTCTGTGCCCTGGGGCTGTCCACCCAAGCGAGAGCTCCCCTGGTGGATCCTGCCAGCTCCCCTGAACCATTCTGGGATCTCCCGCTTGCAAACTCTGGGACTTTGCCCACAAAGATTTGTCAGTGAAGGCTGCCCCCTGGTGGACTCTCTGGGACATAACCAAATATGTCTGCCCTTCTGTGGATTTCCGTTGAATCTATTCAATCCAAAATATTTGAGGAAGGAAATAAGCTTCCGGTGGAGATGCAGAGGATGCTACCCTAACCCAGGGATCAAGGTGAACATCGCCTGTAATGACCCAGAAACCTCAGGACACTGAGAGAGGTGCGTATCTTAAGTGATGTTCTAGGCCCAAAATGTATAACTACAGTTTAACCAAGAGAAAATATCAGACCAGCCCAAATGGAGGCACCAAATTATGATAAAATAACTGAATGGTCCAAAGTTCACAGAGAACAAGGGAAGATAGAGGCATGGCCACAGATCAGAGGGGATGAAGGGGACACTAGGAGAGTGAGACACTGGGATCCTGGGTTGGTGCGTGGACAGGACGTTGGTGGGGCAACATGCACAATCCAAGTGGGGCTGTGGGGTGGAGGCTCTGAGGCTCAAGCCTTGGTTCTGTTCCTGTCCTGTGAAGAGGTAGAATGTCAACCTCAGGGGAAGATGAAGGAGGGATACAGGACTCAGCAAACTGCTGTTGCATTAAAAAAAACAAAGGCTAGAATTACTTCAAAGGAAAAAATTTTAAAAATACATATTGGGGGCTAGGGCTGGGGCTGAGTGGCAGAGCACTTGCCCAGCATGCATGACATGCATGAGGCACTGGGTTCCATCCTCAGCACCACATAAAAATAAACAAATAAAATCCAGGCATTCTGTCCACCTACAACTACAAAAAATTCTCAAAAAGAAAAATATACATTGGTGGGCTCTCTTCCAAAAGAGGAAGGCCCTGGTCTACATGCTGGGGATCCCGTCCCTGTCTTTATGGGTCCTGTTCCAGGGAGAGGGGGAACAGGACCCCTAAAGGACACACAAAACAAACAGGCGAGTCTGTCCTAGGCCACGGGCGGGTAGACCATGGGTCGGGCAGGGGCCCTCCTCCATAAAGAGGGCCCTGGACTCAGGACTGAGGACGAGGCCCACCAATTCACCCACGGACCCAACAGATGCCAGGCTCTTGGGGACAGAGCAACGAGGGCTACAGATCCAAACCCCATGTGCCTGGTGACCCTAGGTTTGGAGGGGGAGGAGGTGACCACTGAGGGCTGGGATGAGCAGCAGAGGTAGGGCTGGCAGTGTGGCAGGGTGGTCGGCTCCACTCACCAGTGGGGGTAGTGACATGGGGTGCCAGCCACTGTGGGAGGGCCAGCAGGGACAGGAAGGCCAGCCCCAAGCTAGGGATGCTCCCCAGAGGTGCAAAGGCCAGAGTCTTTATTAACCTGCACTGAGACTGGGGCGAGAAGGTTGTGCAGAGGGGACTTTCCAGGCCTGTCTTCCTGCGAAGTGGGGTTTGGGTCTGCAGTAGAGACCAGAAGAACAACTCAGGCGTTTCTCACGCTTGCTTCCCCGCAGGAGCCTCAGGGGCGTCCTCTGTCCTGTTTGGACCAATTCTATCCCCGCCCCATTCTGTTGCCTTAGACAACTTGCTTGCCCTCTCTGGGCCGAGATGGACTATTGTCAGTCACTCACCACTGAGAATCTGAAATGTGTGCTCCATGAAGAGCAGGTCTCCTCCACTTCCCCAGCCAGCTTGGAGTGTGCCACAGAGTGTGGCGGACAGAAGCAAACCTGCAACCCTCCTGTACTGCCCTTAAAGAAAAGGGGACAGAGTGTCCATTTTCTGTTCCCCCAAACCTCGCCAAATTAAGGGAACAATGAGAGCAAGTCCAGGTCCTGTGGTCGTGAAGGAGCCTGGCTTTGTCCTGTGTGCTCTGGGACCAGGGCAGGTCGGGTTCTCTGGGCAAAGCCACTTTCCTGCTTGTCCCCAGGGATGGCCGTTCCCTGGACGCTGGTCAGACAAGCAAACCCAGCAAGCTGAAGCCCCTGAGGTCACTGCTTCTGCGGCCTGAGGCCTAAAGCCCCTCTCAGTGGGGACTGGGTTGGCACCGAGGGCACTGTGGAGAGGACGTGTGTCACTCACTCAGCTGGCCACCCCCGGACAGAACACCACAGGAGAGAGGAGGCGCTGCCTGGTGGAGCACCTCAAGGGACAGAGGTGGCAATAGTTTGTCACCACTGGACTTTCCTGTAAGAATTTCTCAGTGAGGCCTCTTGCTTCCTCCACTGTCCCCAGGAAGAAGGGGTGCCCACCTTGCTGGCCTGGCCTGGCCGATGAAGAGGCACCTCCTAGTGGAATTTGGGAGAGGAGCCCGAGGGGCTGCTCAAGACCAGGCCAGGATGAGCCTTGTGTTCCTGGTGGGGGATACTGGACTTCATGCAGCCACTGGGAGCTCAGGTTGGACAGAAAGGCGAGTGACAGGCAGGGAGACCCTAGGGAGAGCCAGGAGGCGCTGTGAGCCAGGGAAGGGGCCGGTGATGGACAGTGAGGCACCTAGCAGTAGGCTTCAGAGGGTTTGGCGATGAAAGCATCATCCAGGACGACACAAGGACACCTGAGTTCCCTCCTGGGGCAGCTGGAGTCCTGCAAGAGTCCTTAGGGTCCTGGATCTGTAAGGCCTGGACAGAACCCAGGTCAGGCCTGATGGGAGACCTCGCAGGGATGGAAGGGTTTGGGTGGGACCAGTCCTCAGCTTCCCCTTGGTTTCTGAGTGGTGCCGAGGAACATTGCAGACAAAGGTACCTTGTTTAGCAAGGCCAGGGGTTGCTGAGCCCTGGCTTCTTGTGCTCTGAGGTGCATGCTCAGGTCCCTTCTGCCACCCCTGGAGGTGAGAACCTGTCACCTTGCAGCCTATGCCCAGGGCCATGCTAGGCTACAGAACAAAGCCCCAAGGAAGGAGCAGCCAGAGGCATCTTTCCCTGGGTCCCCGCTGTCCTGGGCCCCCTGCTGTCTGATCATGTTCTCAAGCTGGGGCAGGGCAGTGGAGGGAGCCACTTCTCGTGTCCCCTCCCCAGGGCAAGGGAACCAGGCCAGTTCATTACATCAATTAATAGCATCAGGCCTGTCTTGCCCTCACTGGTTCTCGTGCCCCGTCAAGCACCAAGGCTGTGTGACCTTCTGGAACCTCCTGCCCTGCGTGCCACTGAACACCCTCTTCCTTGATAAGAAACAAAGAGCCACCAGCTAAAGCTGTCCCCCACGGAGGCCTTCCTGCAGGGCGCTGGCCCTCCTGGCAGGGGCTGCCCAGCTCCCCTGCCAAGCCCAGCGCCAACACCCCCACCCCTGCCAGCTCGGGCTCCCTGCTTCCTTCCTTTCTCCTCCAGTGCCACAGCCTGTCCTCTGCCCCTCTCCTCAGCGGTCACTAATGTCTGTCGGGTTCCTCTTGATGCTGGGGCCAGGAACCTCCGTGCCCTCAACGGCCTCCTCGCTCACACCTACCTGGTGGGCCCGGATGGTCTGCAGGTTGCCTTTGGTGCGCTCCAGCCATGGTCCCATGTTCCTCTGCCTCCATGTCCACCCTCTCCGCACAGCCATGAGAGGACTGTCCCTCTGCTCTCTAGCAGCTTTGTGAGGCTCCGTGCCACGCAGGAGTCTGACCGGCCATCTCACTCTCAACTGGCCCTGCTTACAGCCTCCGCTTCTCCTTCCCCAATGACAACTGACCCGCAGCTCCTCCAGCCCCTGGATTTCTGGGGGGCTGTGGCCCCAACTGCAGCAGCCTCCCTGCCCACGCCGAACACCACCTCCCATGGGTCCTGAGGGTCTCATCCAATGATCCCTTCCCCAGAAGCTTCGGCGAGCAGGCTACGGCAGCCCCAGGCCGGTGGCTCCCACACAGGCTGGACCCGGGTGTCCTGCCATCTGCCAGTGCGAGGCTGGTGGGGGCGGGTCTTTCCTGTGGCCAGAGGAGACCCATGCCCCTCAGAAGGCAGAATCTCTGAGGGACAGGACGGGGTGAGCGGAGGAGGAGTTTGGGGATGAGAAGGGTTTGGAGGAGGAGCTCGAGCTGTGTGCCGAGTGGCCGCGGGCTTCGGGCGCCGCCTCTGGGAGGCGAGTGGGAACGCAGAATCTGCAGCTGGAGGCCTGGAGGCCTGGAGGCCTGGGAAGGACGGGCTCCTCCAACAGAAGGACCATCCCATGTTCACGTGGCCAGACGCAAGGAGGCTCCTTTCACCACTGCCTGCTCGTGGTGCCCCCCCAGGTTCCCAGAGTGCGGGCCACTGGGGGCGGCCAGTCAACGCGGACCCCCAGCGCCGCCCTGCTCCTTGGGTCAGAGTCCAGGGTGGCCTGGAGCCTGAGGCTCACCAGTTCCAGGAGACCAAGGGTTAAGGTTGCCAAGAGGTGTCCCAAAGAATCAAGTGAACAGCGTCTGTCAGTCAGTGGCAGAGGTGACAGACTTAGACAGGCTTAGCTGGGACAGAACTGAATATAGGGCGAATGGTGGAGCGGGATGGGGACACAGTCAAAGCAGACAGGCAGCATGTCCTCCCTCGGGCTGCCTGGGCCGCCCATGCCCATCCATGCTGACTCCACCCACAGCCAACTCCCTGCCTCGAGGACGAGATTAGAATGGGGTTCCTGATCTCTTCAAACCCATCCCGGGCCACCCGAGGCACGTGGTACCTGCTGGCCATTGACAGATTCGCTCTACAAACACATGGTGGCTCTGTGCATCAGGAACAGAGGGACTGGGCGGTGAGGCAGACCCTGGGTGAAGGTGGCTTCCACATTTGTTGAAGCCTGTGACGAGGGGAGCTGCCTACCACAGAAGAAATGTCCAAGGAGCAGGACAGACCTCTGCTGTGGTGGGCAGGTCCTCATGTGCATGGCAGCGTGCGAGTTCACACCCACCCACCCCTGAGGGAGCAGGTGGGCACAAGAGGGATGAGAAGAGCTTGTGAATGTTTGCAGATGCTCCAAGGTCATCACTAACAAAATTAGGAAATGGAGGTTTCTTTCCAAAATGCTTTAAAAGAAAAAAAGCAAATAGCAGAGTCCATACCCACAAAAAAAGCAAAACTGAAGAGTAAAAGGAAGCAAATAAATATGTGTGTATTTATAAAAATTGGCTGACAAGTCAAAGTGTAACACAGAACAGAAAATGCAAATGGTAGAAATTACCCTATTCAAATAAAAATTTTAAGAAATAAAATGCAACAACTTGTATAAAGAAATACACCTAACACAACATGACAGAGGCTGAAAATAAATGGTTGGTCAAAAATATAATACTGGAATTCTAATCAAAGGAAAGAGGGATGGCAATATTAATAGCAAAGGATAATTTAAAGCAAAAAGTATAATGCGAACAAAGGGTCATTATACAGAGATAAACATTAACAGAGATACATCATTAAACCTTTATGCACCAATAATGAAGTACAAAGGGGAGAGAGGACAGCCCAAACTTGCAGTGGGATATGCTGACTCCTGCCATCCGCCCGTGTTGGAGCTTGAGTCCACGAGGGCGCAGAGATATGGAAAATATACTCAGAATTCACTGATATAAAATCTTTCGTCTAGCTGTACCGTCCAATGTGTAGCCATTAGCCCCATATGGCTGCTGAGCATTTGGAAATGTGTGTATGAACTGAGGAACTAATTAGTCAATTGCATTTGTTAAAATTTGAGTCTAAAAAAACTGAAGCCATGTAAATTTTTTTTTCCCTAAACTCAACTTTTGTTTTGGTAGAATTACATTTTACTCTAATCACTGAGAATTTAACATCCCAATGTAAATGTGCTATAAATTTCAAACTGAATTTACAAGAATGCAAACTCATGCATTGATAATTTTTATACTGGTGTTATGTTGAAATATTTGAACATGTTGATGAAGTAAAATGTTTGTTAAAATTAACTTCCCCTGTTTCTTTTGGCTGTTTTAATATGGCTACTAGAAAATATAAAATTACATTTATGGCTCACATTACATTTCTGTCAAACAATACTGCCCAATAGAGCACACCTTGTTTTGAAGGTTTCAGAGAATATTTGCCAAAACAGATCACTACTAGGTTACATGGGAATAAGAGAATAAATATTCGAGTATGACAGTCTTTTTACTTTAAACTCCAAAAGAACTCTTAAAAAAAAAAAGTAGAACAAAATAGAAATAAAAAAATCAAGGGTGTAAACATAAAATGAGACCATTAAAACAACAAAACTTCTAGGATGTAATCAACTTAAACATAAAGCCAGATCAATAATCTCTATACCTTTTATGGCATCTCTGAGAACCTGACACAGACATTTTCTCTCTCTAGAAAATGCAAGAATGTGAAGAATTCTGTATATGATTTGTGGAGGGCCTCACACTTCCAGAGCCCCCAGGCTATAAATGCTGATATTATCAAAAGTGAAAATAAATTAACTAAGCAGACAATTAAAATTCAAGGAACATGAAACAAAATTCTCAAGGAAACCAAGGGTGTGGGGGGGGAATAGCAAGACAAAAGCCAGAATGAAAACAGCAGAACTGTCAAATCAAATGAGCTGTTTCTTTGGGGCGGGGGGGGGGGGATAATATAAATCTAAAAATAGGCAATTGCTAGGAAAAATATCCATTAAGAAAGAAAATGCATAAATATTGTCAGAAATGAGAAAGAGGACACTTCACCAAAAACCACAGGTTCAAAATTCAGGGAGTATTCGGCACAATTGCATAGTAATACTTGGGGACAACTCAACTTTTTCCTTGTAAAATTCTAAATTAATAAAGTTGACAGAAGAAATAGAAAACACAAATCAACAGAAAAAGAAATTTCTGAATTTTTCCAAATTGTTTCCTCCAAAAGCAGCAGAATCTGGTCAGAATCTGACGAATTTGCTGGTAAATTGTTTCCTATTTTTGAGGTGCAAATAGTTCTGATCACTGAACAGCCTCACCAGTATTTCACTAATACTTCCTGGGTGCCTAACTCCTAAGCCACATCCAGTCCTGGGCCAACATAAAGACACTGTCATGTAAAATAACACCTCTCCAATGTCATAAACTATGGACAGTAAGTTCACTGGCTCATCTTGTGAAGAAAATATGTCAACCCCTACACTTGGTAAAACTTTTTCAACTTCGTGGTGATACAAGAAATACCTACAAAAAATACTGATGTGTATGTAAAACTACATCCACATTGTCTCCTTCCTTTATAATTAAGAAACCATGTACTTAAAAGGATCAGACAGGAAATTAATCATGTGAATAAAGCATATAAATTACTAAGAACATCAAGAGCCCTAAGTGAATAAAATATGATTTAAATAAGAGAGCTAATTTGAAAATGTTTAATGAAAAACGTTCAAGCTCAAATTAAATAAGACAACAATTGCTATTTTTACATGTTAAATTAAGTTGATTTTCCCTAAAGCAAACATTTCCTTGTGTGAGAACTTTTTCCCCTCAGAGCTTCTGGTCTTCGCCTATGGCGGCCAGTTTTCCTATCGCCTGGCTTTGTGAAACGGGTAGATTGAAACATGCCTAATCCACTGGCAAGGTAACAAAGGCTTAAAATAGGGTCTCTGCCGATCCCATCTGCCTGTTGTGAATGGCGGGGGACATCCCGTACACTCTGGAACAGACTTGGTCTAACCTCTGTCAATAACAGCCCAGACCATGCTATTTTAGCAGATTATTAAAACATAACTTGCTTTTCTCACTTCCCTGCTTGTTGGGGGAGAAAAAAATGGGACTATCCCCAGTGTCTGTCCTTGGGTCTTCCCATCTCAAGGTAACTTGGGGAAAATAACATGTCTGCAGGAAATGAGTCTTACACAGCCTCCTTGCTGAGGTCAGACTCACTTCCTCATCTTCTTTCTCACCTGCTTCCTTACTTCAGAGATCTAGCCAGAAGCAGTAAGTGGCAAAAAAATATCTTTTAAAACTTGACCTGGAGTTTTAAACCCAGGGAAGGAAGGCTGGGTACGTGTGGTTCCAAGCAGAGCTGGATGCCCTGGGCAAACATGGCATCCCTGTGATTACCTAGCACAAGGGAATTTTCTATGAAATAGTTACTGTTAGAGTGATCTTTTTGTCAAGGGGATATAAACAAGAGCATCATTTAACACCAAGAAAACATGGTAATATGTTAAAATCACATCTTGATAGGATTCTAGCATGTGGTGAATCCAAAAGCCAAAGACATGTGCTTTTGTAAAGAGTGGCTTGAATTGTATCCATGACAAGCAGCAAAGACAGTTTTCAGTCATGTGGCCTGGGCCTCAGGAGTGGGTCTTAGAAGTCTGCTTTTAAAATTTTCTACTGACAACCTGAACGGAAATGATTTTTTTATTGGCTCTTTAATAGGAGTTAGAAACAAATCCCTTGCCCCATGATTTCCCAAAGAACAGGAACGTAAGTATGCCACCTCCGGGTTGGAGCGGATGGACTATGTGAAGCAGAGCCTGAGCACTGGACCCGGCCAGACACTGCTGGCTCCTCATGCACCAGCTCAAAATTATGTCTAACTTTCAAAATGTTGCTGCATTCAACAAATAACTTTTCCTACCTCAGAGAGATCTGGCTATAGTTGCTGAATCGGGGCAGACAGTGGTAGTTGTGAAAACCTTCCACTGTAAATAGAACCAACACTAACTGCCGGGTAAAGCACTAGCCAACCTATGAGCCAAGTATCCAAGCTAATGAATGCTTATAAAAATATCACCTAATTCTGATTATTCAGATGACACAAGAATCATATGACCAGATTACATAGGATCTGGGAAATGTGTGGTTCTTTAGGGATTCTTTTGGCAAGCAGAGTTGCAAACACTGTACAGAACTATACGTATAAGGCAGTGGTGATCGGAAGAGATGGAGACAAGCACTATCTGCTAACCAAAACCTTGGCCTCGTTTTTTTCTTTCTTCAATGTTACTATCATAACATGAACCGCTTTTTAGTTTGCAAAGTATTTCTCACAAGATGTCTCTTGTCCCTTGGTTATGGAAGAAATAATGGGGGCTGACTTCTCTCAATGGCTTTCTCTCTAAATTTAGACAATGCTCTGCCAACTTTAAGTTATGCCAACTCTCGGGGCTTGTCCATTTTCAGTGAGACGCCACCAGGGCATGATAGGGAATAAACCCCTTCTAGAATGAGGGGTTTTTTCCTAATGGATGGACCAAAAGAGGAAAGAGCAACAGAGAGTACGGTATGCAGTCAACAAGGGATTTGCCTGTGTGTGGTGTGCCAGATGGCAAGCTACTGTCACCAGTCTGCAAATAAGCAAAACAGCAAGAGAGACATTGCTGCTATCTCCAAGGAAAATCAAAAAGAAACTGGCTGGGACTGTGAAAAGAAAGGCGGTAGAATATGAACATAGTCTTGTAATTTGTTCTGGGATTGGTCACGATCTTATAGCCTGAAACACTGTGAGACCTGACTTACTCAAAACGGTTAGGGACTTAAACTCCAGGGCTCCTAGTTCAAGGCTGTGTGCGTGTATTCACGTCTAGAAACTGATCTAGGAATGCACTTGTGATGGGAATACAAGAACACCATTTCAGAACAGCTGCCAGTGTGATTAGAGCAGTAAATTCTATGTTCAATCCATAGTAAATACACCTTTTGGACAGGTGTAGATAATTTCATTACAAAGGCAGGATGGGAGGGAAAACAGCCACTCAAAGTTTCAGTAATTCAATAATTTATTCCTCTAAAAAAGTGTGTAAAAGTATATAGCTCTCATCCACAAGGTATATATGAATGACATTTAAAATGGAGGCCTTTTATTATTGTTTCTTTTTATCAAAGTCTTTTAGTGTACTGTACCAGCGCTATACTGTAGTCTTTTTTTTTAAATGAACTTCACATATTTTTGTATTCTTTCAAATTGTTTGCTATATATAAAAGAAGCTCACTGCAAAATGCTTGAAGGAAAAAAGAAAACAAAAAGAAATTCAGAACTTCCCAGAAATGTACAGCTTTTACATTTAAAAAAGTTTCTGAAATATACATACAAGCATGCTGGACAATCCCACCCTTCTCCCCTCCCCACTGCCCCTTTTTAGTTCAAACCATGGTTAAGAGTTCTGATTTCTGCAGAATTTCCAAAATTAAAAATAAAAAAAAAAATAAAATAACTTTTCACTCTGTAGCAAATCCAGGGCTTGTACATTTCAGATTAATTCAGTAAAAAAACTCACAAGTAAAATAATGCATATTTAAGGGAAATATTATACAGACTTTTTCACACAGAAGTACATAATAAGATTTTTTTAAAATCTATTGCCATTCATTTATTTTTGCACAAAAACGTATAAATATGTCACCAGCTTTTCTTAACTTAAAAAACTTAAATAAAAGACACCAGATGAAAACTACCCTTTGCTGCCTTTTTAAAATTTTTGTTGTTTTTTTTTTTTTTTTTTTTTTTTGCTTTTTTTTTTTTTCCTTTTTCTGCTTAGAATTGGGTTTCTAGGGAAGAAAAGCCCCTGCATTAAAAACAGCCCATTTAAAAAAAAAATTCAAAGTTCTGATGAATTCTGGGAAAAAAAGCAACCCCAAAGTGGTAAAAGATTACAAATATCTACTTTACAATGTGTCTTCTCACCAAGATAATTTTATACAAGTTTACAATCTTCATCATCTTATGCTCTTCAAAAGGCCTTGAGAATTTTCCTTTCTGATTAAGAAAAAATAGCACTGCAATATTTTTAAAGTCAATTTTACACTGTACACATTAGATACAAATGGTTTGATATATCAGATTTTTTTAACCTATACATTGCGAAAGTCGATCCCTCCCCCCTTCAATTGGTGGCACAGAGAACAAAATTATCCATTTACAAGTTATTTCTCTGCTTTCACATTCCCACCACACAACTTTTTTTAATATAATGTTTTAAACGTTAGATTATTTCAAGAAAAATACTTTTACAAAATCATATCAATTATTACATTTTTTCCTTTTTTTTTTTTTTTTTTTTTTTTTGTTAATAACCAGGACATGGAAGTCTCCTGGAAGAACTTTTAAAATCTGCATGATTCTCTCCACAGATGACAAGAGCTCAAGGCCTGGTCAAAGTGGCTCCGGGAGGCCGGTCCATGCCCGCTACCGCCCTCAGACAGAAACACACAGCAACACAAGGGTTAGAAACAGGGTCTCAAAGACAACCCTCTGGGCCTGGAAGGAGGAGTCATAAAATACTTCAATTAGCCATTAATGCTTTAAAAAGGCATTTTTTTTTTTTAAAAGTCCCACCATGAAGGTTCAACTTCAAGTACTAATTTAATGGTTAAGTTGTAATATTTCTTTGAAATAATATTCCTATGGTCCAGAAAATATTCACCATATTTATAACTGATTTTATGAGCAAACACTTTCCACTGTGATATGTACATGAGTCCCTTTTGCTCTAATGAGAGGAGAGAACTGGCTTTCGATAAGAATTCACTAGAAAATATATTTCCATTGTGACTATATAAAACTAGTTAAGGTACTTGCCTCCACGGCTCTGGACAGAGCTCGACTGCCTTGGTGTGAAAGTGTCATCCTTCACGCAACGTGGGCAGCTCACTGAGCGTGGCAGAATTCCTAAAACCCAGTGTGTTCTTAACAAGATCTACTGCTGGGTGGTCATGAACACATGACGTTTTAGGCATGGTCTCCCCGATTTGTTTTCACTCTTTTTCCGGCTTCTAGGACAGAGGTATGTAGTCAAAGAATCCTATGGTGGATCTGAGTTGGCTTTCAGCTACTGTACCTGGTCCTCAAGAATCAAAAAGTGAAAAGAAAGTCACAAAAACAAATGACCAAAACAACTTAAAATAAATAAAATGAAGCAGTCTCCAGACCTTTCAAATCTACACACAGGTATGAAGTCAACCAAAGCATTCATGCCAATCTGGATGGGAGCGTTTGAGAGACGGAGACCCCGGTATGAAATCATGTACTTGAGCTGGTTATTTTTAAAAAGTCCCAGAGAATGGAGTTCAGATAACCCACAGGCCATACATCAAAAACAAGAGGATTTCATCCAAAGGGCTCTGTGGCCCTCATTTTTAAGCAGAGGCTGAAAACACAGACTCTTGTGCAAAAGGACACTGTCTCTTCTGTTTCCCTCTTAAAAGCCACTGGCAACCACTACTTCCTGTGGACCAGTGGCTGGGGTGGGTGGGGGGGCTGCACACACCACACATTGGCTGAAAGTCACTGCTTATGGAAGTTCCCAGGTCCATGAGAGAAGTGTCAAGGAGTCGCTGTGGTCATGAGCACTGCAGAATGAACATGTGCCTGCTGAGGGCTTCACAGTGCGGGACTGTGGAGACTGGTCTGAAGAAAAGGATGTGGGCTATTTGCAAAGTATAGCAGGTTCCTCAGACCGAGGCTGCGGGAGAAGAAACTGAGCCAGAGAGAACAAGTGCTTTCCAATTAAAGTATATTCATGATGGCATTGTACAACTGAGTGAGCACCACAAAGTGGACGGGAAGGCAGGAAGTACGGTCCTGGGTGGCTGGATTGCACGTGAGCCAGGACAGTGCGTTGTACTGCTCCAAAACAAACCTGCCAAAGAGAAGACATGGGTGAGGGCAGGAGCCAGAAGGAAGGCCAGGCAGCTCTCAAATTGTAACAGCCAGATCCTGGGGCAGAAAGCCTTCAAGCTACTCTTCATCTTGCCCCAGGCGCATTCACATGGTCCTTGACTCATGGTCCCCTATTCTGCTAGACCTGGACTTTTCCCTACGGTAGCCACTGGCCACAAGTGGCCACTAAGCAATGAGATGAGCCAAGTCTGAAGTGAAATGTACTATAAACATAAAATACACAGTTCAAGGACCCAGTAGTTTAAAAAGCATGCAATGTCTTTATCAATTACAGATGAATACTTTGGATTTACTGAGTCAAACAGAAGATATTATATAATACAAATTTATTAGTATCTTAATTATTTAATTTTAATTATTTAATTATTAAAATTAATGCCACTAAAATTATGATTATACAAATTGCTAAAGACTGTGTAAGAGAATTAATACACATTTCTGGGATACAGTTTCTAACTGTGGAATGTATGTTCTAGTCAATTTTATTTATGAAATCCATGTTAGAGAGTCAAAAATTTTTTCAACACAAAGCACTTCTTAATTTCAGACACAAGCTTCTAACTATTCCCATCCCCTGAAAATTGACCTCTTCTTCCTCATCATGAAATGCCTCCTGTGAACAGGAAGCAGAGCAGCTGTAATCGCACACAAACTATCTAAGTGGACAAAGTACACTACACTGCCTGTCCCAACATATGGGGGACAGCAGCTCACACTGGTAACCAGACACTGGTGCACTGCACTAAGGGCAGCATCTTCTCCAAGAACATCACAAATTAAAACAACTTAGAATACAAGAGCAAAGGAGCATCATCATTTCAAACTATGTTGCCTGGGTTGGAATCTACCTTAAAACATCAGATGTGGTCTTGGAGTCCAGAGGGTGTGGAACCCGTTGAGAATTCCTGGCAGGGAGAAGTTCATCCGACTGTGCTACAGAGATATGGTGATGTAGTGAAGCCTGGAGAAAGAGCAAATATCGTCACCTTCCAGGTCCAGACAACCACAGTGCAGAAGAGGGAGACCCCCGCTGCCCAAGCAGGGAGTTTGTAGAAGTGCAGGTTGGTTTATATCTGTGAAATCTAAGCTGCTCAGTAGCCCCCCAGCGTGGTCACAAATAAGTCCATATGTTAGAGGGGAAAACAAAGCAAACTTCCAGGGTTCTTTTTATTGTTTCATCCACCACAGTTTCTTTCTAGAAACAGTCAAACATCCACACAAAAAAAAACAGTATAATAAGGTCCCATGTGCTCATATCACAATTGCCACTATTTGTCACTTTTTGAGTTAGAAAATATCCCCTTGTGTTTATTTTAAAATAAAATTTCCCTTTGTTTATCTTAAAACAAAACCTAAATATTTTATCATTTTGCCTGCAAATAACTGAGTAGGTGTTTCTAACTGATAAAACCTTTTTTAATAAAAAAGAGTAATATCATACACAGGAAAAATTAACAATGATTCTTTAATATCATCAATACTCAACCCATGCACAATTTTCTCTGATAATCTCAAAAATGTTTTTTTTTTTTTTCTTTTAATAATGAGCCAACCTGTCTCTACATTGCAAATGATTAAGTCATGGGCCTCTTAAAGACTTAATCTGTAAAAGGCCCCACAGTCCAGATGTGAAGACTTAATCTGTAAAAGGCCCCACAGTCCAGATGTGCCTGGTTTCTATCTTGGTGGTTCTTTATAACATATTCTTCTATTTTCCAGATTTTGCATAAAACATAGTTGGATCCAGAGGGCTCAATCACTTCTGGGACTGGCAGGCAAGTATACTTCATAGCTGGGGCTGTATCCTTATAATCAGATCACATCAAAAGGCATCTAACGTTGGTTGTCTTGCTTGGAGTAGTACGCTCACAGGGTCAGGTGGTACCAGTACACTCTAGCCATTATAAAGGTGCACATTAGTTTGTCACCTAATGGATTTAGGATGGTTTACTTTATTAAATAACTAAAAAATATATAATATTTAAAGGTAATATATGAATACTTGATTCTTTCCCTTTATTTTCAGTTTTCAAACTAACAAGATGATGCTCTAATAGCTACGAAAGGTAACTACTATATATTTTTATTGTTTTTTTTTTTCACTACAACTATGAATTCAAGGATTTATTTCAATTTACTACTACTATTATTCTTTCTAATGATCTCACTGTCCTACTCTTGCCTTAGTGATTACACTGCAAGTTGGTTCCTGGGGCCTTTGGTATGACCTTAAAAACGTGTACGGGTGACATGAAGTGCCAGGCACATCTTCAATACTTCTTACTGCAGACCTGCAATCAGTCATTTTTTCAGGGAGCCCTGGCTCTTCTCAATTACAAATAGTATTTGGCACCATAAACCTGACAATAGAGGTGTCCACTGCTGCCAAGTGGTCACTGCTTGTAAGCTTTTTCAGTAGACACAGCTAAAAACTCTGCATGCTTTTTTAGACAGGAAAAATAAATAAATAAATCTAGATTAACACCAATAATTCTAATTCAAAATAAAAACAACATAGATTTTTTGTGTAGTTTTTTTTTTAATCTTACTTCTTGATTGCATGTTAAAGTCATTAGGAAAAGAAAATTGTGTGTTAAGTTTGTGATTTAACCTTCCATTGTTTCTTTGTGAGAATATAAGCAAGTATGTGTGTGTGCTGCGGTAATCTACAACTTGGGATGATCAAGCAGAAGCCGTCCTCATTTTGTTAAGGATAACTGATACCCCACAGCAGGGGTGCACGACAGCTGATCCAATCAGCCCCTTTACTGATAGGAATCTAGGTTCTTTTTTAATCTTTTACATATGTTTTTGTAATTTTTGCCAAAGTATCTTTGGGAAAGATTTGTAGAGGTACAACTGTGGTACCACAAGGGAAATCTGAAGGGCTGCTGCCATTCAGTCTTCACACCAAGGCCTTCTCCCCAAGGTCCCAGAAAGAAATACTGTCAGACCTTTGTTTTCTTGCCAACCTGTGAGCAAGAAGCTGATTTCATTTGTTCTTTCATAGCATCAGCAAATAGGAGATCTTTTGGTTTAGATCCAAAATGTGAGGGGTTTTGTTGTTTTGTTTTTAAAAAGCAAACTCTGGCCCTTCTCTAATGAAGAATGTTGACAGTTCATGGCAGGAGGAAGAGGACAACTAGTTACTAATACCTTCACTTGGAGCCATGCAATATGGACCTGGAGAAGGAGTGTCAAGCTGAACTACATGTCCCTCCTACCTTTATCCTTCAGGTCCCAACAAAGTATACTACTAGGATTAGTGTGGATTCATTTCTTTGTGATTATGACGAAAATATCCTTGGAGTAGAAGTGAGATGAGAGAAACAGAACAGAAAAGGACTATGGTGCCTGAGACAGAAATTTCTAATCAAAAGTGAATCTGAGCATGGATCACTCACTCCTCACAAACTTCAAATACAATGCGAAACCCACCTTTAGGAAGAGAGGGCACTGGTTCTGAGCCTGGGGACATGATGACCAAAACCACTGGGGGAGATTCTCAGCTTTGGCAGTTGACACAAAATACCCAAGGGCCAAGGGCTGCTGCTTGAGCTCCTCTGGTGCCTCTCTCGAGAGAAGACGCTCACCCTGGCTCTGAAAAACAAGATTCCAAAAGCACAGTCAGCATTTGTCATGAAGTTTAAAAAAAATCAAGTTTCATCAATTCACTCCAGACACTGTGGTGACTAATCCCTGCCTGGTGGTATCTCACACAAAATGCCCTGGTGACTGAGACAGGTAAACAGGGAAGGCACTGTCTCTGTGGCACAGCAGTCAACCGACAAGAACTACAATTCGGCAGAAGGTGCCAGCAAACTGTGATCATCAGTCAAGTAAGCCCAGATTTACTTGCTCTGGCTTTTTTTCCCCTACAAAATGCAGAATCTGCTCCATGGAATTATTATGCAACAAACTGAAACGGAAAGACTGCAGCCTCTGCCAGCTGAGCTCGGCTCTGCGTCCATGGGCTCTTTTTACCAGAAACCACAAAAAATGTAGGCGAGCACTTGACCACGCAGCTCCACAAACCTCCAACAGGACAATGGCAACAAACCAGAGTCTACATGGCAGCGAGAGCACTGGCTGCCCACTGTGAGACGCTCTCATGGGAAAGCTGTGTTGTAATTTGTAGTAACTTGTAGGCATAGTGAGCTCTGTGAGAGGCTCACTATGCCTTTCTGCAGCCAATGTCCTCATCACCTTTAATTCTTTCAGCTAGCTTTAGGAACTAAAACTGTGCCTCTAGTGTAAGCAATTTTAGGGTGATAAATTTGTTTTGAGGTAGGAAGAGATCCTTCATCATCAAATTGTATCAATTCTGAGTGGGTTAAAAAATAAAAACTTACTGCCACCTTGAACACATGCTTTCCTATTGTGATGTCTTCATTGCTTATCAAAGAGTATTTACTGGTTTAGAAAAAGGGAAAGCTAAAAGCATCATGGAGGTCAGCTGGCTGCAGGAGCTTAGAACTGAAAAAGGCCACCCGACTAGCTTCAGAACTATGTTGTTTAAACCGACATTCAATTAAAGACTTTAGGACTTGAGGCTCCAACAAATGAGAAAAATACAACACACCTCCGTTTCTTACAAAAGAAATATCACGTTTCAATGATTAGTTGTTTGCTATTGGATAAACTGAATGACAATGTGTATGGAAAGCAGATGCTGTTATTTCCATCTCACAGATGAGGTAACTAAGACTAAGAGAGGCAGAGCAGGCTTGCCCAAGACCACAGGGCAGGTATCGGTAGAGCCGCAGCACAGAGCTGTCTTCTCCAGACTCAGGATCCGTGTTCTGAGCTGCCAGGTCTCCTGCCTCCACAATTTGCAGAAATCCTCATTTAAAATCATCCAGTACAAATTTTGTGTTTAGGGTTCTTATTACAAGAATCTTCTATGAACAAGCGAGTTGTTTTTAACTTGCAAATAACTAACTACAAAGAAAACAAAGACATTTAAAAATTGCTTCCTTCCAGGAGAGGTTAGAGGGACAGATAGTAACATGAGGACACTGAGGTGTCCTTCCCTGGTTTCACCTGCTCTGCGACTAAACTGAGCTTTAAATCCTCATCATTCTCTTGACCATCCTTCAATGATTTCAGTGTTGGCAACACAAGTTCCACTGACAGAAACCTAATTCCTTTAAGTCCATTTTTGTGTCTTAAAAAAATGTGCGCTGGGCTGCTTATACTTGTTCAGCCTAAGATACTAAACATGACTATTTTTCTTAATCTCATAGCATTTTAAATAAAAAATACAGTTTAGTGATGAGGCATGAACCATCTAGATGTGAAACAAAGTGAACAGGAGCTAACAGAACCTTTTACTTTTGAACACTGTAACCTTCACCTTTTGAACTTAACTGTCAATCTGCCTCCAAGAGTCCTGGGATATTGAAGATGAAATTAGCCGCAAGTTTGGTTTTGTCCTTAATACTATGGCATTAACCTGGACATTTCTGTAAAATCAGCCTCCTGGTGGCTCCTGCCACCCCTGCAGGTTAACTACAGATAAGAGCAAGACAGACAGGCTCCTTGCAAAACAAGCAACCATTAACAATGTGCTCCTCAATGAACATTTAACTGTGGATGTTAAATAAACAGGGCTGTGTCCTCTTGAAAGTCACTATTTTGAGAGAAAAGTAAAAATACTTTTAAAATAAGAGAGAAGTAGCAAGCAAACAAAACTATTTTTTTTCTAAAACACAACTGCCTAAAATCCCCTCTTTGGGCTGGGGCTGTAGCTCAGTAGTAGAGTGCTGCTTGGCCTGGTTTCATCTCCATCACCCTAAGAACAAAATGAAACATACACAAACCCACAAAAACATCCTGCATCTGCAGTAGGACCATTCTTTTTACAAAATTATGCATCATAAACAATACATTTCTTTCAAATTCCTGCTTTCTATGCAAAATAGAACTAGAGAGTTATTTTCCCACTCTTATTTCTCTGGCAGAGAGCTAGACCATCAGGAAGAAAGGTATATATAGTAAAAGGATAATCATATGTCACAAGGATTATTCTCCTGAGGGTTCAGGTAGTTTAAACAACCTCCTTCCAATCGCCCTTACCCGACTGTGCTGGAAGTGAGAGCCCACACCAATTCCAGAAGGAGAGCCTGGGGAGGGAACTGGGGAGGAGTTGGGAGAGGAATGGAGGTTCCCAGTCATTAATATGCCAATGTCATTGTCCATATCATCTGGGAATGGAAGGTCAACAAACATATCATCTAGAGGAGGAGAAGGAAAAATATAAAAATTAAAAAGATGCCATATCCCCAACTTAACCAACATCATGTTTTATGAACCTATGATTAATGGCCACATGTCGTTAACACATTACTAAGAGCTAATGACTGCATGCCTGGTGCTGCAAATGGTGGTTTCATTCTGTTCTCCCCAGTGACCTCCTGACATGGAGTTATTAACAGAATAGAGGAAAAAAGCACACAAAGCCCCACAACTCTGTGTAGCCTCCAAAGGTACATGAAAATATAGTAAAACAGTTAAAGAAGCAATTTAATTATTACAGTTAAAGTTGGCATCATTAAGAACACAGTAAACTACCATCTATGCATCTAGTTAGCAGCCAAAACACTGAAGGCTGAATGAATGCACATTCACAGGTGTGAACTTGCCCCGAAACAGGAGGAGGCATCCTCCAAGAGCAGATCAAAGCACCAGGCTTTCATTAAGAATTTCCCTCCCACATCGTAAAAGTAAGGTGCACTCAAAAAAAAAAAAAAAAAAAGGAAAGTGTAAAAAGGAAAAAAACAATTACCCATAACCCAAACAGCATGAAGATTTTTGTTATGATCTTTCCCTTTTTTCATGTTTTTGTTATTTTACTGTGATCATGCTACATATAAAATCTGATATCCTTCCTTATCCCCCATTTAACATGAGTAAATGCTGCCACCTATTAAAAAACAACTCTTTAAAAATTGTATAAGTTAATGCTTAATACTGAGCATTTCACAGTTCAAAAATAGATTTTAACAAATGCTATAATAGATATTCAAACCAAAAGCAATCCCTTAAGACTAATCAAATTAGATTCCCAAGGACTAGAGGAAGGAAGGCACTACCTTCATATTGCCTTGTACTTCAACATTTAAAAGCAGATCAACAAATATTTATTTAAAGAATGGCACCACGTGCAAGGCATTATCAGGCAATTATTTTTGCCTTTAATGAAAAACAGAGGAAAATTAATTACCCAACTGAGGAAAAGTCTTTATTTGGTCTTAATAATAATGGGGACAAATTGAAGCTCTAAAACCAAAAAGATCCTCAACCCTCCAATCCTAGTACTATTTCATGTGTTCTTCACTACACCACAGAACTACCTGCAGCAGCACGGTACCTCCATATTCTAACTCTGTGCCATGTTGATAGAAGGGTCTCTAACTGGTTACAAAGAGGCCTCCACTCACCATTGTTAGGGCTGAACCCATCCTCGTTGGGATAGTTTGCTGGAGCCACCTGGATGGTTGATGATGTTGGGAACACCAAGATGTGTGTACAAGACGCGTCTTGAGGGGTATTCAGCTGAGAAGACTGCATGTTCAGTGCAGTACTTCGGCCAAAAACAGAGCCCATTGTGACAGCATCTTTAAAAAAAAAAAAAAGAATTTTTTGTCAGTTCCCTTCAGCAGCAGTGAACATCCCTGGAATGAGGTTCTCAGAGGGCCTGAAGGGGAGTGGTTTCAGTTTAGTGCAAATATCACACATTTAGAGTTGGACCCAATTGTTAAAATATTTTCAAAGAATTTAACACAGAGCACACAGCTATCACACACCCACCTCATTTAACACTGAAAATTTTAAGATAAAACTGGATTGAGTCCAGCTAATATTTTTTTAAATTACTTATGTAGTATTTCTACTAATATAAATCTCCAGTTTTTCTTCTCCTATGGTTGCTCACAATAAAGTATGTCTCCTAAATGATAACAATCCCATAAAAATGGTACCATTTAAATAAGAAATGCTGTAAGTAACAGACACCGAATGCTTGCTTACCACATGCCAACTTTTATAGTAACCTCTATGTACTAACTATTACCCCCATTTTATAGATAAGGACAGAAGCACAATGAAGTTATGTCACTTTCCAAGTGGTGCAGGCAACAGAGGTAACTAGGGGTGGGCAATAGTCCTTAATCATGGCTCTAAGAGCTCTCCCTCAGATCCAGACTTGCACCTCTCCCCCAAATTGTGGTCAGCAAAGACAATAAAATCACAAACCATTACCCTTGGAAGAGATCAAATGGTTTCCATGACTGAGCTCAAAGTACAATATTCTCTTACAGAGATATAATAATAGTGAGATATTCTACACGTGCCTGTGATTTAAGTTTGAATGAACCAAACTGATGTAATACCTAATTAATGAAACTGACAAAAGGAAATTTACCTGGCATCACTACAAAGGACCCCTGGGGCTCCATGGCAACCAGGCAGGCACTAAGGATAGAAGGAGAGTCTGCGGCAGAGATTCCACACATCCGGCACACATCCTTGAGCTGTTTGCTGATTGTCTGTAGTGAACATTCTCCAAGGAGGATACTCCAATCTGAAGTCAAATATCATAGTTATAATACAGTCTTCATAAACACACACTGGTATGAGGTCTGAACTTTTTGGCAATATTATTTGGAAATTGAATTTCCATGACTAGACCCTAAAGGGAACATGTCTCTCCATATTCCCTTCCATTTTCAGTTCCTCTCCTTACCTCCTTACTACAAAGAAAATGTTACTTGAGTTCTATTATACCTTATTAACTCAGAAACAAAGGTCTACTATACTGGAGGCTGAAGTCATGTCTGAAATGACCCTTGAGAGTCCCATAAAGACCGTGGTAGATTTAGACACTTATAATGCCTTCTGATGATGAAGTTAGTGTTAAGATTGTTCTAGCCCTTCTCCTCCTTTCCCCCAGTTTATCAGTACTTTTCTTTGGATGACAGCAGAGCTGGGGGAGCCTCACTTCTGTTTACTACCCGAGGTTGGTTATTAATTCCACAAAAGGCAAGCAGCAGCAGAAACTAAGTGAACCTTTTTTAAAACATCCAAAGGACCTCACAAACAACTTGTGAGAGTGCAGTTTTCCAGTGGTGCCAAAGTGATAGTTAAAACTGAAAGCTGGAAGCACGACTTGTGACATTTGTGTACTGCTTCTGAACAAAAGCATTGTGCTCAATCAGAACACTCTTGCAGGTATGTTACTCTGGGAGGTGAAAGTCACTTGGTCCTCTCTTTTGACCTCTACAATACCCATGAACTATGCACTACTCTTGTGTAGCAAACTGCTGTCACGTCACAGCCCACTGATCAAATGCCACTTCACTGCAGGCTTCTCAACTGCACGTTTTTTTCAGACAAGCTGAATAGAAAAATGTTTTCATATTCCTAAGGAACCTCAATCTGAAATGGGTGAAATAAAGGTGTCCAGGAACATGAAGAATGTATGTTTTAAAACTGTCCGAAATCAGACAGGTGTGAGCTTTGCATCTCAAACCAAACAAGAAGGTAAAGGCAGGGTGAATGCTTCATCATAAGCACTCTGGAGATAATAGAAATTGATAAAGCGGAATCAAAAGTCCAAAGGCTGTGATCTGGCAGTGCCACAGAAATGGAGGGAGATGGATCCACAAAGGAGGGAGACAGAGATGAATAAACAGATCTGCACGTGGGGTTCACCGGTGTTTCTGTTACCGAGAGTGTGCTTTCTATCAGTCTTTGGATGGGCTCCTCTAGTCATTTACGCCCCTCTCCTCTAAGAGAGAAGAAACAAGAGTGTGCCCCCTTTGAAAATCATGCCAGGAACAGAGATGGCCTTAATCATTTTCCAAAACACTAAGTGACTAGACTACATTATTATCCCCACTTTTTCTTTTCTATTATATGCTAACCTTCCCCAAGGATTAAGAATAGCTCAAAGCCTTTAAGAAATAAGATTAACTAAAAAGCAGAGTACGGAGGAAGATAGGAAATCTGACAGAAATGAAATGATGAATCCCTGAATGTATTAACCTTCAGGCTACTGATATTAGATTCATTATGATATTCCTTAACAAATGAAAAAGGTATATTTCCTATTGGTCTCTAGTTTCACAATATTACTCAAATAACTTCATGTGTAATTGATGCTTAAGAATAATACATATTATGCAATATTTGTATAAACTTACACAAACCCTGAAAATTAACTTCAAATGCAATGTTCATTGTAGTCAATGAGTTACACTTATTTCTACCTATATCAGTGGTGTTTTATTTCAGGGATCCACGAATATCTGAAATCAATTTCCCGTAAAGAAATATCTTAGATGCTTAATGCAGGGGTCAGCATACTGTGGTCTGCAGGTCAAATCCTGCCACTACCTATTTTTGTAAATAAAGTTTTATTAACACAGTCACCTCCATTAATGTAGGCATTTTCTATGGCTGCTTTGATGTTACAACAGCAGAGCTGAGCAGCTGCAACAGTGACCATCTCACCTACAAAGTGCAAAATGTTTACTCTGACCCTCTGCTGGCTCTAATGTACTTGCATGCAGGAAACCACTAAGCTAATTTGTGATGTAAGTTTTGCTTTGGTGCAGTCTTCAGAAAAAAATTTCCATCAATAATCATATACAAAACTTCTTATAAATGTGTCATTAATTAATAAGGTTTTTAAGTATCTGTCAAGGCCTATTCGTATTACTCCTGTAAACACTATGTAAGTAGCTACACAAATGAGGACAGTGCGTGAGCTCGGCTTGTGCCAGGCAAGGCAGCTGCTAGGGGTTGGTTGTGCATTAGGCAAAGTTACTTTTAGTACTTCTTGACTGTTATGCTTTTAATAAGGAATACAAGCAGAGGAAGATGTATTGGGGATACAACTAAAAAAGAAAAATCTGTTCTTTTTATCTTCCAGACTGAAAAATACCAGGCGTTGGCACTGGGAATAAAGACCTGCTCTTACTTGCTACTCTATGTCTTCCTGAAACAGGATTTTCTTGCTAATATGTCGCCAAAACAAACTAGAGAAACACAAAAATCACCATCTTCAGCCACCAAACAGATAAACTGAAGGAAATTTTTATATATGATTTCAACAATCACCTTTAATCTCTGATAGAAGATCTCTGATCTTTAAAATTGACTTGTTCATCTCACTGCCTCAGTATATAAATTGTTAGAAATTTAGATTTACTGAGCACATAACTTTTATACTATAATATAATAATAAGTTATAATAACTCACCATTTCTGTTTTATACTTGAAATTTTATTTGGAGAAATAATTTTGCTACTAAAGAAAAGTTTAAGGGCTGGGTTTGTGGCTCAGTAGTACAGCACTTGCCTCGCAAGTGTGAGGCACTGGGTTCAATCCTAGTACCACGTAAAAACAAAGACATTGAGTCCATATACAACTAAAAATATATTTTTAAAAAAAGAATTTAAAAACATGATACTTATACATGTAAATCAACCAAAAATATAATGTTTTAGTCTTACTACCAGCTTTAAATTTTTTCCTTTTTGCTTAAATTTTTTCCATCTGCTCAGCCCTTTCCGGTTTTTACATCCTGCTTCAGGAATTTCTCACCTTTAAGCTCCCCATGGCCAAGGCGCCCAAGTCTTCCAATCACAACTCTCCAGGGCAGCGATGTCATTTGCACAATGCCTATGCACCATTCCCACAGTTTCTGCAGTCCAATCTTACGTGCAGATACTTTACTCTTCCGGGACCTAAGAAAGAAAGAAATGGAGAAGAGGTCCCTGCATAAGTCAAAGTTACCACTTAATGAGACACACGCTGTAAAATTCCAAAGGACATATCCATGCTGTTTCCATTGCATTTAGATAGGAAAATGAGCTCAAGTCACATCTGATCAAAGATACAGCATTAATTTACACACAACACAGATATCAAGGCCTCTCACCTGTTTGGTAAAGCAATATTCACAACGCAGGTCTCTAATAACTCCCCATGGAGGTCAGTGCAGGAAGCCAAGAGCCAGCGCTGGTCATGGGATAGACAATAGCCCACAAAGAGCACATTGTACTTCTGGCTGGCCTCACCAAAGTTCTCTCCCAGCTCTGTCTGCTTTGATTTGTCTTTGATTGGGGCCAATATAAAGGGAGGGGAGTAAAGCTGGATTGGGCTGGGCCGCTGAAATCAAGATCAAAATCAGTTTCAATACAAAGTCACCCAATGTAATGTTTACAACAAAACCCAGAATAAGACTGAGGGAAACCAACAGGGACAAATGGTGATGATGACAGACTGTTTCCCACCCCTGCTCCAGTACTACACATGTAAACAGTAATGTTCACACAGATGACAAAAAGACTGTTTAAATGATATAAGGTAGGAAACCGAACCAACCTAATATTTTCTTATTAAAAGAAATGACTATTTTGGAAAGTAAACTGGACTAATTTCATTAGTTGTTAGGAAAGTGGAAATTGAAACCACAATGAGATAACCCTACATACATCAGCCAGAATGTTTGAATAAAAAAGGCAGAAAATACCATGTTTGGTGAGAATTCAGAGCTTTTACACATTGCCCCTCTGTGACTCAATAAAAGCATATATGTGTCTCCCAAGAACAGGTGTCATAATATTCCTAACAGTATTAATCATAAAAGCTCCAAGTTGAAAACAACCTAAATACCCATCAACAGTAAAATGGATGACAAATTGTGTTACAGTCACATAATCAGAATATTAAACAGCAAAGATAATGAAAAAAAACACAACAACAAACAACAAAAATGGATAAATCTCAACACTGAGTGCAGGAAGCCAGACACGAAAGAATATAAACTGTATGTAAAGTCAAAAACAGTCTATGCTGGTAGAAGTCAGAATAGTACCATCAGTGACTACAAAGGGACACTAAGGAGCTTCTGTTGCTGGTTACACTTTTGTTTCATGTGCTTGTTATGTGACATTTTTTACTGGAAATTCACCAAGCAGCAGTACACATATATTTTAATAATAGGCATATGTGTGAAAAGGAAATTTTAGAAATCCAAACCATTAGCTGTTACCCAAGACAAATATTTTAGAAAACTAGACAAAATGTAATTGACATCATTTTTTTAACAGCTATCATATACACATTGCTATTTAATAAATTGCAACAGGAGTAAGAAAATGTTTATAAAGGACCAGATAGTAAAGATTATATTTTAGGGGTCTCTGCATATACTCTTGTCTTTTTATAAATGGAAAAATAATTTTTACCTGGTTTGTTATACAAGTACAGGGGTAGGCCAGATCTGACCCACAGCCATAGTTACTGATTCCTGAACTGTCAGCAGGAAGCATAGTAGTTAACAGAAAAACACGATTTTAAAGATAAAGGAGGCTTTAGAAATAATCTAATCCAAAGTATTCATTTTAGGGTTCAAAAACTCAGGCCAAGAGATACTCAATGATTTCCTCAAAGTTGTAAAACCAACCCACCACTATTCCATTCACTTTCTATATGACCCAGAAATTGGACTCTAACATACTTATTAAAAGAACTGAAAACACATGTCCACACAAAATCTTTGTACAAAAGTTTGTGACAGCATTATTCACAATAGTCAAAAAGTGGAAACAATACAAATGTCTACCAGCTACTGGAGAGATAAATAAAATATGGTATAACCATCCCACGGAATATTATTTAACCATGAAATGATTCATGCTATAACATGGAGCCTTATAAAAACTATGCTAAATGAAAGAGGCCAAATATTTAAAAAATCACATATTATATGATTTTATTTATATGAAATGTCCAGAACAGGCACTCAAGAGAGACAGAGGTAGATTAGTGACTGCCAGGAGCTGAGGGGAGGGAAAAGAGGGATGATTGTGAGGAGTAGAATTTTCTTCAGGATTGACAAAAATGTTCTAAAAATCAGATAGAAGTGATGGCTGTATAAATTTGTGATTATATTAAAATCACTGAACTACACAATTTAAAAAGGTGAATTTATCTCCATAAAGCTGTTATTAAAAAAAAAAAAGGTCCAAGTGAGGTTGTTTGAAAGTCTGACATAAAACAAAAGGTTAAATGTCAAATATTTTAGCTGCAATAGACAGCTTGTGGTAAATAATTAGGTAAAATATGATTCCCAAACAGTGTTTTAAGATACTATATATCTCATTGTTATTATTATTTTTAATATTTTTAGTTATACATGAACACAATATCTTTATTTTGTTTATTCGTTTTTATGTGGTGCTGAGGATCGAACCCAATGCCTCATATGCACGAGGCAAGCGCTCTGCCACTGAGCCACAGCCCAGTCCATAAGATTCTATATATAAATCTTAATTGATAGTTACTGCATATATTTATCTTGTGAATTCTAAAACATGTAGACAACATGTGATGATCAGGCCAGAGTAACTGGTACATCCATCACCTCAAACTGTTACTTTGTGTTGAGAACATTCAGAATCCTGTCTACTACTACCAAATTGTTTTTATGATGCTAAATATTACATAAGAAAACGAAAGTGATACTAGCTATAGTATCGAAACTTGCATATAAATACGAAGTACACGCTTTCTTATGTGACAAGGTGCTTGCATGTGCTACCCCAGGGAATCAGCACTGCATGTAGCAGGGGCCCGGCTGTTCCCTTCACTGCTGCCCCCTGTCTTGGCAGGAAGGCAGCACCTGGCACAGAGCAGATGCTCAATGGCTGAAGCGAGGGAAGCACAGTGCTCCATCCGGACAGGCCACCAACTGACCAACTGACCATGACTCACATACAGGAACTCACACACCTTGGCAAACATTTACAAAATGTGGTGCTTCTGTTTTTAAAAGAAAATAGACTTATTTCAAATAAAATAGGCTTATTTCTCTTTTCCCACTGAAAGGAATGGGGGGAGGCATGTTACTTGAAGTCTGTTTGCCACTTATTTTAAACTAAGCCTCACTTTGTCTCAAGAGCCCCTGATGATGTTCTGATAAAGTATATTATAATCTTTAAAAATGTTATATGATGCCTTGGGATATATTAATAGTAGGCAGCCCGCCTCTCTTTAATCTCCACTACAGAATACACAACACTATTAGTTATTACTTGACCTGTGATCACTTCTCAAAGCATCAAGAAATGACTGCATCTGAATTCTTTACCTCCTCAAGGAGGTAAAGAACAGAAAGATCCCACATTTATAAAGAAAAACATCAATTCATAATTTCAGGAGACAAAGAAACAAAGATAAAATTTTAAATTCTCGAAAAAGCTAATAGAATAGATGAACGAACTGCTCACAAAAATGAAAAATTCAAACTCCAAGACTAAACTAAACTGAAAATGCCAAAAATAGAAACTGTATTTAACACCAGACTGAATGTAGGTCATCAGCTGAGCAGCTTTCTCCCCTGGGACTAGGCTGACCTGAACCAAGTTCCAATACAGTATTAACTACTTGAATCATTTCTCACTTCCAAGCTTTAGCATCCTGTGCAGTTTTCCAGAAACATTTTTTTTTTTTTCCAGAAACATGTTTTTTAAAAGGTCTCTTAAGGCGAAGAGGTTTTTGTTGGCTTTTATTAATGGGTTTTCTTTTATGCCATGAGATTGTGGGAATTGGTTTTTAAACCTTTGATAAAGCTAAACACTGCCTTAGACACACATTTTCAAGATAAAGAATGAGAAAAACAAGGGGAGCATAAGATTTTTGTTTAAGAGATATTTTGGCTGGGTGTGGTGGTGGACATCTGTAACCCTAGCTACTCAGAAGGCTGAGGCAGAAAGATTTCAAGTTTGAGGCAGCCCTGGGAAACTCAGCAAAATCTTGCCACACACAAAAAAAAAAAAAAAAAAAAAAAAAGACATATTTGGCTTTATATTTTAAAATTCCCTTAAAGGTATGTTATCTATGGGATGTAGACCCAAGAAGATGCGAGGGAAAAGCATTCATTTCCCAACAGCACGAGATGAGGAATAATAAAGTTGGGACTCTGGGAGAGCACATCTCAGAAAGTGAGGTGCTCTCACACAGTGAATACACAGATCACTGCTGCCTCAGACATGAGTCAGATCAAAGGAGAGCAGAGAATCTGTAACATAAGACAGTTTAGTGAGAACAATAAGAAACAAAATAAATTTAGGAAATTTGAACATTAGTACCTAAAAGTGATAAGTATATTATTGCCTTAGATCTTAAGTGAAACAAAAAAGAGCTTGCTTATCTCTTCTCTCAAAATAATTTTAAAGTTCAGAGCAGTATTTGTTTTAACTTAACAATTAAAGAAACCTACCAACTCTTATATAAAGGTAGAAGACCAACCAAGCAACCAACAAATCTGTGCATCAGATAAGACATCCTCCTGGTTTGCATTTTTAGTACCAAAGCATTCTTTCTGCAAATTTCTGCCCTCCAATACTCACCTCAGGGTTCTTGAGGGTCATCTCAATGCTGGCTGCAGGCCCAAATCCTGTGAGGGATTTAATGTGGATCTGTGTAGGCAGAGGTCGCCTGCACTGGCAGTACACTGAAAATGCCATGGACTTCAAGTATTGAATGTAGAAAACTTGTTCATCCTTCACTGTCTGCAGCATGTACTGGCAAGGCACAATCTAAAACACAAACCAACCAACCCCAGGAGATTTACTATGTTTACAAGGCAGCTGAAAAGTGAAATGGCATGAATTTATTCTTTGATGTGGGGGAGGGACCTTGGCTTTAAACAATGTAAATGTCAACCATAAGACGATTAAATTCTAATTTCTTCCAGTGGCATAAAGTCCTATGTGACATGTAGGATTTTTTATAACATAATGTTACGAGCAGCAAATTATGTTGGCCAAGACATACTTTCACTTAGAAATTACCCTACTCCTACTTTTGGTATAAATTTTTGATTTGCTATTGCCATGGTTCCAAAATTTTAAAACTTGCATTTTATTATTTTTCTCATTTGTATAATGTATACACATAGCATGCATGGCATCTTTGGAATTACTGCTTAATCGTGTGTGAATGACGTTGAAACAATGAACAATTATCAACCTTCTATTTTGATCACCTAAACTTCAATCTTTTAATTCTATAGGATAACTTTCATTTTATGTGACAATAAAACAAAACCCAAAAGGAACAAATAAAAAATTTAAAAACAAAACCAAAGCTGGGTGCGGTGGCACACATCTGTAATCCCAGCAACTTGGTACTGAGATAGAAGGATCACAAGTTTGAGACCAGCCTCAGCAATTTGGCGAGGCCCTAAGTAACTTTGCAAGACCCTATCAAAAAATAAAAAATATGGAGATGTGGCTCAGAGGTAGACCATCAGTAGGTTCAATCCTCAGTAACATCACTACTACCACCAACAAAACAAAATAAAACAAAATAAACCCAATACACCCTAGGTCTCATTTTTCATCCATATAAAATATTTTTTACAAAATTATTTCACTATAAAACTAGCAAAGATGTAGTGAAAAGAAACATGCTTGCTTACTGCTAAAAGAAAGGTAAATAAGTTTTGGGGAAAGGAATCTGACAACATTTCTCATCATCTACAGCTAAGAATCCACTTTTAAAAAATGACCTAAAAATGTAAAAAGGGTGGGGGAAGATAAGACACAAACATGTTTACTTGGCTTTGTTTATAAATAAAAAAAGCAGAGATAAAGGTCTATCTACATAGGAATAGTTAAAGATGGAAAATATGTAGTCATTAAAAACAGGGGAGGCTCGGGTGGGCTCGGTAGTACAGCACTTGCCTAGCATGCTCAAGGCCCTTCTATCCCCAACACGGCAAAAAGAAAAGGTTACTGGTGTAAATTGTAGGGAACATGGAAAAATATTCATGAGTAATGCCTAGAAAAAGATTAAAAATTATATTAAAACCAGAATCTCAACCTTGTAAAAATGTAGGGGAAAAGCTAAAAGACAAAAATAAATAATGATGGTTTTATCTAAAAGGTAAAAATTATGAATATTTTTCCTTTCATACTTTCATGTACTATTAAATTTTTTAAATCATAAATTTAATTTCATAAAAACAACATATGTAAAGAATAAACTTGCAGACAATAACCTGGAGAATGAAAGAATTTCTCATATGCTCAGGTAAATTATCCAGCATTTCTGTGTAGCAGCGCATCAAGCTCAAGAGCCAGAAGTTTCCAGAAGTGGAGTCTTCCTCTGCAGTGTAGGTGAATGGGTCCACCATGTAAATCACAACAGCAGGAGGGTAGGCTTGGCTGTCTGCAGAGTCAGGCTCCGTGGGAATTCCTATTCTCTCCCTTTCTGTAACACTGGAGAGAAAGTCACTTGTGAGGTACATGAAACAAGCCAATTGTAGAGCACACTGACTCTGTGGACAATGACTATAGGCCGAAGGTATGAATATGTGTGCATCATATACTAGGAGCAGGCAAATCAAGCCACTAGCACCAAGGACAGATGGAAATGGCAATAGTGATCAACATCATTAATCCAAAACTTTAGCATGATGCTCAAAAAGTTTTGGATTTTGGAGTGCTTTGGATTTCAGATTTTCAGATCAGGGATGTTCAACCTGTGAAGTCTATGCAAATATTCCCAAATTAAAAAATCTCCAAACTCTGAAACACTTCCAGTCCTAAGTATTTTGGAAGAAGGATACTAAACCTCTAAACTGGGAGGTCTCTTTTTCAACTCCCTTTTCTTTTCTGTGGTAATACTCTAGAAAGAGATTGTATAACAAGCCTAATAGTGAATTAATAAGCTTAATAAGTTTGTCAGTTACAGTAAGTTTTTAGAAGTGTCAAATTTCTTAATGTAGCTACAGATTGACAATTGTCACTTTTTATTGGAAAGAAGAAAAACAGAGCATTCTATTGGATTTGGAGATTCACTGAGGTGGGGCAAAAGAAGAGGTCCAAGTTGAACCCACCTTTCTTGTCCATCCTGCACGGGCTGGGAGGAGTTCTGCCCAAGCTCAGTGTCTCCACCACAGCCCATGTTCCCTTGGGTTCTGTCCGTGGCACTGCCCCCAACACTGGGGTTCTGCCCTCCAACACTACCGCTGAGTCCTGAGGAAGAGGTAGTGCTCATCTGGTTAATACCCGGAGCAGAAGCAGATGACGAGACCTGGGGCACGGAAGAACCAGATGTGGAACTACTTGTTGAGGGGTTTGTAGAACCACCATTAGAGGTGGGATTGAATGCACTGCCAGCTTGGGGAGCTGCTGATCCTGAATTTGAAGCTAAAGGCCCAGCATTCCCAGGCGGAGCTTGTCCCTGTGTTGTTGCTGGTGGGGTCTGGTATTTAGGTGGTATCAACAGGCTGCTGTCTAGCTGCAGAGTGGCTAAATAAGGTGCTGAAAGAGAATACACAGACAGTTGGTGTCAGCAATGTTTGGCAGAGTCAAACTTCATCAGATGTTAGAATGGTTGCATTTTTCAAAAAGTATGCTCTTGGGATGCTGTACTCTGATTCTGACACCCTAAATACTATCTCCACACTTGCGGATGTGCTTATACACACTGCAAACACAGAAATGCATGTGACACAACTTATGAGTTTTTAGAAAAAGATTATTTGAAAATAAATATTAATCACTCATAATATTCTGTTTCCAGACAGACTTCATATGCCTTCACTGAAAAATAAGAAGCCATATATTGCATAGCCATCGTGGTGTATTATGCTCTTATGTATATATGGCTTTACGAACCTCAGAGGTTCTCTGGAGAATATGGGTTAAATGTAAGCAGTTAATACCAAGTCATGCTGCTAAATTTTCAAAATGTGGTATAAATAGATATTGCTTCCTTAAGAAAATTAGGATTTAACTACCTAGAATACAAAAATTAGACTAAACTAGGTATAGTAATGAAATGCTAACATTATTTGAGACAAAAGAAATTTAATACCGCATCTGTTAGGAGATGGGTAGGACCTGCTACTTTACACCTGCAATTCTGCTTGGCCAAATAACCCTCCATTTACCTAGGTGATGGCGGCAAACTTGCGCATAAAGTTTGAGTCTGGAATGATTGTCATTCTCCTCACTGCTCCAAGGCTGGTTAAACCATTCGCTCACAAGCTCATCTGTCAGCTTCTGTGCCACGGTCTTTCCCACACGCATGATGCCATCACGTAGCACTTTGCAGATGGGCTTGTGCTGCCCAAGCCTACACATCTGAGGACACAAGCAAGCCCATTATTTTCAATAGGAGTCAGTCAGTCCTTCACACAGTACCTACACTCGGCCCTTCGCTCAGCAAGGGAGGTTACCATAAACATGCAAGCTTTTTCCTTTTCCTTTAGGTTTATCCACATGCAATCAAATGAACATTATAAGCTGGACTTTTTAATTTACCCTAAAATTGCTCTCTCTCCAAAATCTGAACTAGGCCCTCAGAAGAAAACTAAATGTTTCTTCACCCAGGCCAATTTCTCTTGCACAAAGGAGATTGCTGAACACTACCTTAAGGCTAATGAGCAAGTGAAGAAGAATTAACAGGATTTCTAACTACTAAAACTGAGACATACGTCCACTAAAATCTCTTAAGTAATCCTTACACATAATGTTTTCTCATAAAATAATACTAAGATTTTATAGGCCATCTGTTAGATTGATTGTCCAGAGGTAAAGCAATAAGCATCCCAATCACTTTTCAAAAGGAAGTAGCTGTTTTAGGACAATGAGAATCTGCTGGTAATCTCCAGGACACTCAATGGACACTCACAACACCCTCCAAAGAGCCAACTATCTGTTCAGCAGCAAAAGAGTCCATATTAGTACCCCTTATTAGAGTTGGGTTAAGTGAAAGCTTATCAAGCCACCATAAAATTCTCTAGTGCATAATCCTTGAGCAGCCCCAGTAACGCAAGAGAGAATGGGGCGAGGGGTGCCTGAACCTTCTAAAACTTACTTTGAAGGTTTTATTCGAGAGAATGGGTGAGCTTTAGACAGACATGAGTTGTCTGTGATAGATTAATTATGACTTAATGGTATTGTGTGTCCATGGACCATGTGCTATGCAGAAATGACTTATACCCAAGGGTTTCTTTCAATGGCTCAACAGATGTCATCACATGGCATTTTAGCATCTCCTCATTTCTCTGAAGCAACTCCTAAATTTACTATTCCATGTTTACTTGTATGTTTACAGATAGTGAATGTACTCTTTGGAAATATATTTGAAATTCAGCTTGGCATCTTATTTACAAAACACTTTGTAATGTTTATTAGGTACCTGTCTATGTTATAAACACTTTAACAAATAATTTCATTTAATCTTGCCATATATGAATCATAAGGTACAAAGAACTTAGTGTATATGGACCTCAACAAAAGAAATGTAAGTGCCACAAGTCTAACCTTTCAAAAGTAACAAGAATTTACATATTAGAGAGAGAACATTATCCAGCTGGTTTTCACATGATTATGGTTATTAAGAAGAAGGTAGTGTTAAAACACAGCAGAAGCACAATGCATTCAACTTTTCTTTTGATCCAGAAATGTTCAAGCTAAACATTTATTTTTTTTATAGCTTTTGAGAACTTGTATCCATCCACCAAAAAGTAAATAAAAAGAACAGATGTGCTTTCTTTTTTGTAGAGTTCATCTTGCGCACAGCTACCACTTTTTCCTAGTGTACAATACCTTTAAACTTTGAGCTCATAAATGGGGAAAAAAAAACAGTGGATGGGATTTTAAGATGTGTTCTAAGGCTGGTAGAGGAATTTTTTCTCAATCTAATCAAGAATAAAGCCAAGAGGGAAGGGTGGGGGGGGGGGCCTTGCCAATTTAATTCTTTTCTTCATCCTCTGTTTGCAATTTTTACTTTGAAATCTACTTTTAAGAAATTTGTTTTTTCAAATTCAGTTCATAATCAGAAACAATCAGGAGACTCATGTCATAAAAAGAATGCTCATAATAACTTTCTTACCTCATATACAGCACTCAAGTCCCTGAAGAAAGTTTTGGCTCCTTCGAGCAAGGCCTCATTTTCTGGACACACCACAATATAGGCAACATCACGGTGGCCCCCATATGGGTCCAACAACAGCCTTTCCCAAAAGGGCAAGGAGAATGGCGAGATGGTCAGAAAGTCCTTGTCATAGCCTACCAGCAGGGTAGGGATGGGTAACGGCTCAGGAGATTCTTCTGAACCTAGAACAACATTGTCATTTAGGAAAGTGCTTGAGATTCTATTTCTCACAGTCTGGGCATTTTAGAAATTTCTGGGGGCACTGGTCTTAATTTTGGATCTGAAATGTCATTACCTGTGACATAATACTCTTAAAAGTATTTTTCAAATCATCTAATTAAGCAGTCTTTGATGAAGACCATTAATTGAGTCTAAAGTTTCTTCTGAAGGCCCAATAAAACCAGAGGACAGACCAGAACAAGTGAAAGTTAACTTTCCAAGCAGTATTACTTCATTTCCTTTAACGCGGGCACTATGATCCTGACTAAAAAACTAGTTTTGCTAGTGAAGTGAGGGTTGGACAGTAACTAATGCTACACTTCAGTGGGGAGCACTGAGGTGAGAAGGGGTTTAAGTCAGCCAGGACTACCGTAGGTTCCACGTCCCGCCATCTTATGGAACTGCTGCCAGGTGAGTGGTCCCTGCACGTGCTGAATGTTCTCCCAGGTCCTGCCCGTGCGCTTCTTTTGGATGGCATCTTGGAGAAAGGGCTGCAGGGACAACAGCATGCGGACCACATCCTGAGAGGAGAGCATGCTGATGTCTAGCACTGGAAGAGACATGGGAACACAAAGGATAAGGGGATTAACATTCTCCTCTTTTTGGTCATCATCTTGGATCTCAGTCATAGTCCATGACAAAGATGTCATTAGCTGTATCAGATTCTAAGGTTCTTGACCTAAGAGTCAAGAGAAAAGATAGTCTAAATTAGAGAAAAAAAATAACTGATAACTTGTTAACCAAAACAAACAGAAAGAAAAATTGTTATTCTAGATAAGAGTTTACCTAAAGAATTGTTTAAAAGAGAAAAAATGAATAGGTATAATTTTTTAAATCATGGAAACCCGTTTAAGAATTTCCATAAGAGAGCTTCAAAAGCTTTTTTACATCACATTACTTTTACTTGTGATTATCAATGCTTTGCAAGTGGGCCTGATGGCACATGCCTAAAATCCCTGCAACTTCAGAGGCTAAGGCAGGAGGCTCACAAGTTCAAGGGCAGCCTCAGCAACTTATCAAGGTCCTAAGCAACTTAGCGAGATCCTGTCTCAAAATAAAAAGGGCTGGGGATGTGGCTTAGTGGTTAAGCACCCCTGGGTTCAATTCCCAGTACAAACAAACAAACAAACTTGTATGGATATGGATGCTTTGACTTAAGATGAGTAGATCAAAATGAACCTAAAATAGAAACTTTACAAAACTATTTAGGGCTGATGATGTAGTTCAGTGGTAGAGTGCTTGTCCAGCATGTACAAGGTCATGGGTTCAATCCCCAACACTAAGATGGGGAGGGAAAATAGGAGAGGAAGAGATTTTAATGTTCTTAATGTAAAATATTTTCACAAAATACCAATGCGTAAAGAGAAGACCTGCAATGCAGTCAGAGGCAAACAGAACTGCAGCAGAGACAGCATGAAGCCATCTGGGTGCTGAAGAAGGTAAGGAATTAATTGTTTAAAGAGTAAATATTCCTTCTGCCAGCTGTCACTTGAGAGGAGTTTTTAACCTAGAATTTGAAAACCCCTGAGAATCCATGCTAGATCACATGAGTACTTGTGTGAATATGTTTGCACTTTTCCCAGAATGGAGGGTCCATAATGCTCATCACTTTCTAAAACATGTCTGCAGAAAACAACTATCCAGCTGGAGGTGGCACGCTAGGAGAGCCTGCAGCTGGACTTCTGAAGATGGATGCTTGCTCTACTTTTCTGGCTGATTAGAAAGGGTATTAAAGGGTTCTTATCATATTCTCAGATCTGTCCCTACATCAACACAACACAGGTTACAAACTGGTAGTACACAGAGTTTTTGTTTTTGTTTTTTCTTTAAACTCTGGAAGGACTACTCCAATTTCATGCACAAATGGGGGTACCCAGTTTTTCTGAAAACCTTAGAGGTGGCTGCTGCCATGGGGGACCTGACAAGTCAAGGTCAAACCCCATATCCCCATATGACCACTTGCGGAGCTGAGTGGCAGCCTGGCCTCTTGGACATTTCTCCACACCTTGCCCAGCTATCTGGTGAGGATAAAGCAGTGCTAATCACCTGTACCTTAAACTTGTGCTTCTCTTTAATTTATAATAAAGAAAGACAGAAAGTACTTCTATACCCATAGCGACCTAAAGTGGGAAATGACAAAACCACGGATTTGAGAAAAATAAAAGCAAGCCAGAGGGCCAGGGTTGTAGCCCAGTGCCTAGCACGTGTGAGGCCCTGGGTTCCATCCTCAGCACCACATAAAAAAAAAAAAAATGAATAAAATAAAGGTATTGTGTCAATCTACAATTAAAAGCAAGCCATAAACTCTCTTCCTCTACACACAAAATAAAAGGTGTGTTGTGAAAGGATGTGATTTAAGGCATTGCTTTTTTGCAACTCTGTCTCCCATCTTATTCATCTATAGTAATATCTGCTAATTTTAACATCTTAAAAATTTTCAGACTTCCCCTGCAATAAAGATGTCCACCTTCTCAAGGGGTAAGATGATACCACTGATTCACAGAGTGTGTTTCTGTCCAAAGGTCACGATTTAGTGAAAAGAACCACTGCAGGTGATCATGCACATTTCTTTAAGGAAAAGGTGGCATTTTCTTTACTTCATAAAATTTATTCTGTAGACATTAATTAAAGGCTTGCTAAGCACAGGATGCTATTTGAACTTAAGCAGTTATGAAAATGAAGACAACCCTTTAATGCTCCCTTAGGGGTGGCTGCTGCCATGGAGTAGCCATGAGTACCTTCTTGCTTAGCCTGCTTGGAATGTGTGTCCTTCCCTATTCCACTGACCTCTGTCTTCTGGGTTTGCTTTTATTATTCTTTACTTCAGTCCACATTTAAGGAGCATTAATGACCTTTTCCTGCAAGACTGACAGCTGTTCAGAGGCAGAGTCCATGCTTCATTCACACATCCCCTCCAGCATGGTCTCTGTCCCTTTCTTTTCACTGTGTGGTCATCCTGTCTGTCCCCACGCCCCAACAGAACCAACTCTCACTGTGCTCAGAAAATGTGCTTAACCCTTATCTGAATCTATTCAGCTGCACTTTAATGTCTGCAGACCTGTCTTCTTTCTGCAACACTGCTTACTCCTGTACGCCTGGCTTCCAAGACAGGTCTTTCTCTGGTCTTCCTTCTCTACCTCCTTTACAGGCTCCCACTTCTGTCCTTGTCAAATTTCAGTGTGGCTTTGCCCACTGCTCACCCTACACTTCCTCCTCCTAGTGAGCTTCTCTGTGCCCTGACTGGAAATATCACCCACATTCCAACCTCTCCATGCCCACTGAACTCCAGGACTACATCTCTACTTGACATTTCTACCTGGATTTCTCATCCTACTCAAGTATGTGGATCTCTGAATGACACCACTGTCTGCCCAGGGACCCAAGCCACAAACCTGGGCATCTTCCTTAACTTCTCCCTCACCCTAATCCCCCAAACTCCTGGCATTAACAAACTCTGCAATAATACTTTCTAAACATCTCTTGACTGTGTCCATTTCTTCTCCACTCTAAGGCAAGCTACCATTTTTCATTTGGTCTTATATCTTCCCAGATCCATTCCTGCCATTTTCTAATCCACACCCCACATTATGGCCAGAATATAGTGTTTTGTTTAACTATGTAAATCTGATGTCAATGCCTCTTCTTAAAACCATTAATGACTTCTTACTACTCTTCCGATGAAGGCCCAACCCCTCCATTAAAGGCTCTCTGTAATCTAGCCTCTGCTGGCTTTTTACTCTTCCATTTCTCTGGGAGTCCCAGGCTTCACATAACTCTGCATCTTCACGCCTGCCTCTTCTTCTGGCTGGGATGCAACAACCTGTGCCCTACCCTCTTCAGCTACCTAGTCCATGCTCATCACTGAGTTCTCAGAGTAGGTGCTACTGCCTCGGTGAGTGTTTTCTGACCTGCAGTCTGGGGTGGCCCCTCTAGCCATGTGTTCATCACTCAATGATTTGTAATAATATGCTTATGTGTGTAATTATTTTATTAACATTCAAATGTCCATTTTTCAAAATGGATAACATCTACCCGTGAGGGAAGATACCCTGTCTCCCTCAGTCATGATTTTATGTCCCAACATGTATCACAGTGTAGAGAGTGAATGATAAGGGAAGAGGCAAGCAGGTCGCTTAGAACTTTTAGAGCCCTACTCCAAAATGGAGATCCCCTGCCCGTATGGTGCTGAGGATAACTCAGGGTCTCATGCATGCAAAGTATACGCTCTACTACTATTGAGCAATACCCTTAGCCCAACTGGAGCTTTTAATATGATAAGAGCTTGTAATGTATTTCAGTAACCACAAAGTAATGTGATCATTTTCATAAGAGATTCAATATGTTGGGAAACCAGAGAAAGGGGAAAGTACTTGGTAAATGGACAGAAGGGTTTAAGAATGAGGCCTCACTAGCACCTGATCCTGAGGAATGGGTACATGTTAGCATGCGAGGTATGCAAACGATCAGCGTGTACACTGGGGATGATTTTGATACCCTGCAGACAGAGGCTGCCAAAATGGGTTGCCTGCTGTGATTGATATAAGAAGAAATTTTCAGAACACAATTACACTTCTCCAAAAATATTTCAATAGAAACCACTGCCCCAGTTCTAAATTTAGGGAGATATCAACAAAGCTCTCATTTTAGTTGTGTCTTTTTTTTTTCTCAAGAGATGAAATTTAAAATTTCTGTCACATAAACCAAGAAAACTTTTAAGTTATCGTCACATCAAGATACTTTTTAAGATGCAAATCTGAATTCTGGGACACCTACCATTGCTATGAGGCCAAGAGTGCACAGTGGCACTTCTCACCAGAGCTTCATCCACTTTCCCACCAGTGGGATTATCCACATACTGCCGTCCCTGCTCCAGCGCATTAAAGCACTCTGTCCAGTAATCATTGTTGTCTGCCTGTACCCGGTCATAACTCCAGCTTACACAGGGAAGAGTTTGGCGACTGTTAGAGGAAATATAGTCCAGGAAACTCAGAGAAGCAAAAGGTTGTGTATGTTGATTCTGAAGGAGAAGAAGAAGGCTTATGGGTGTCTCCTGGGATTTTCTGGCTCCCTCCATCTGAGGAAGAAAGGTGGTCTGACACATCATTAAGCGCCTCTCTGCAGCCTGACCAATATCAGAATTCTTCCCAAAAATATCCAACTCATCTTCAAGGAAGAGTCCCGAATTGTAGCCAAGTTTGCGGTTCATAATCGCACTAAACCCACAGGTGCAGCGGTACTGGTCCTCATTGGAAGAATCAGGGATGTAGAGCCCAACATCTGCCCCTTTGATGTTCATGTTGCAGGCACAGATGCAACAGCTGTCAAAGTTTCTGTCTTTAAAGATATTCATCACAGAATCTGAGAGAATCAGGGTGACATAAAGACTGTGGGCCTCAGGAATTGGCTGCATGGTGGCAGGCTCCACAGAGTTAAGGGGCCGTGTGGTAGAGGGGGTAGAGGCTGGTGACCCCTGATCAGTGCTGTCATATTTAACAGACCCTTGACCACTGGCAGTGCCCCCACCTCTGGGAGTTCTTGGGGTTCTGGGGGTTCGTGGTGTGGGGACTGAAAAGCGAGGGGTCGCTGGAGATGGGAGGACTCCTGCCCCACTGTTGCTGGCTGGGGCAGCGCTGTTCAGCGTCACCGGCGTGTTCATCTGTGGTGTGTTCAGATAGTCTGGATCTGCTAGGCTCCCAACACTAGGCACATTACTGCAACAAATAAAAGAAAGGGTGAGGCAGGGTGGTACGCTGCAGAAGCCAGAGTCCACACACCAATCAGCTATCATTTGGTATGTACAGTTTTCTCTTTAACAGCAACAACAACAAATGTAAAAAACAATCAGTGCAGAGTCTTAGAGAATCGAGAAGCAACACATGAAGAATATTCTATGCAGCTCTTTCCTTCTATTTATTCCACATTTAAACAATCCTCATCTCAATCTTTGGAGGAAACTTTCACGATCTTTATAAGCAAACATGACACTGGGTTTGATCAATGTAATTTTGGAAAGCTGTAACTACCAAGTGGAACTTGGACACACAAGTTCAGATGCTAAATTAGCTACAGGATCACAGGATAAAATTTCCATCTAATTTGCAATTACATTTTTGTCATTTTTTGAAATTAAAAGTCTGCCAGTGTGCTTGTTCTCTGAGGCTATAATCTATATATGATACTGAAGTAGCTATAATCAAATACACGTGAAAATTCAAGATTTTTTTCTAATTTTCAAAATGCATCCCTCTCTAGGCTTAGTAATGAGTGACCACAAGGGAATTCTGATTCACATAACCCACTTACCAGTACCATCCTGCAATTAACAGAAATATTACACATGCTATTAAGAGGCTTTAGTATTAATAGAGTCGGGGTGTAGAAGGGCATATAATGTATCATAGTCTCCAGCTTCTAAAAGATTTTTGTGGGGTGGCAGTCACTTTAGTTCACCTTTTATTTTTCAACATGCTATGCATTACATATAATACAATTATTTCCATTCCCTGAGAAGAACTGGGATATTCTATCTATTTACTCATAAGCAGAGACTTTTCTTTTTTTGAATAGCCAAACAGAAAACAAAACAGTAGTGTCTGTGGTATTCTGTTTGATTTCCCATTATAAAACACTTTTCTGACACACTTTGCTTGATGTATCTGTATAACAGCCTGTGAGCCCAATCTTTGCATTTACAAGGTACCAAAAGAATACAGGCTGTTTAGTCTCAAGAATTTTTACACACAGTGATTAAATTGACCATCCTCCAATAAATTGCATCCTCCTTCACTTATAAATGTGAAAAAAGAATGCGAGAATAAATACCCTTTGTCAAATAATTTTTTGTGTGATTTTTTTAAATGACTAAAGCACTAGCCCAAAAATTCTAATAAGGCACTATAAATAAATTTCAAATCTGAGTCACAGTGGTATATCTGAGTATAGATAAAAAAATGACCCAGAAAACTTGACTGACAATCACTGCTCTCTCAGAGACCAAAATAATAAGAATGTAATAATGATCTTCACACTAATTGGATTCTTTTCAAGTTTTCCTGTTCAACAAAACCCTAAAATTATTACCCAGCTCAGATCTGAAAAGGAGCTATGACTACTAACGGAAAATCTAAATAATTAAAGTGTTCCCTAGGTAGTTAAGAATGGTTGAGCTCATACAGCAACATATTCATTTTTTTTTTTCAATAAAAATGAATTGAGTACCAACTCTAGGCAGAAGCTTGGCATTCAACAGACAAGGAGAAAGAAAAGTTGGCTCATAAGCAAGAAAAGCATATTCAAAGCAAGTGACTACAGGTGTACTGAGTGTGTCAAGGGGTCCAGAGTGATGGAGACCAGAGGCCACAGCAGGAAGATTACACAGTCTGTGCTGGCCAATAAAGTAGCCATCACCACCCCAGGGCTAGATTTAAAATAGCATGAGCAGAATGAAAAATTCAATCTTGGTCTCGCTTTTCAAACACCAAGTGTCAACAACTACCACACAAGACCAGTAGCTGCCACATAGGACAGCGCAGATAAAAAACACCTTCTTTGACAAAAAGGTTTATTAATCATGTCAGTTTAGAATGCTAAGAGTCATTGAGATGGCAAATGACAGATGTAATAGATCAAAACAATAATCAAAATTATCAAAACATTGCATAGCAATGTGGTGGCAAGTGACCTTTTCAGGGAAACTGCATGTGAGAGAATTAAACTGTTGAACAGGTACCTGAGGGTCCTGCCTCATTCATCGGCAACAGTGCATGTTAACCTACTCCCCATGTCCCAGGATGTTCTAGTGGTGTTGTGCCAATATCTAACTAAGAAAGCTCGAGAACAACTGGAGCACAGTAGCACCCTGAAAACCAGATGCTCACATCAGTTTATTTTCGAGCACATTCTTCCATATTGCTAGTATGTTGTCATCTCTGTGGTACTGCCACAAACATTAGTTGCTGAAGCCTTTCAAAAGTTCGCTGTGGCATACAGGGCAGGATTACTCCGTTTTAAAAAGAAGAGCCACTCAGATAAAAAGGTCATCTAATGTCATACACAGGATTTTTACACTGCAGCTGTGGCTTCCTGCTGCCCAAATCTAGGTTCTTGACATCCATCTACACATTTACATGTGATGTGTATCCATCATAGTTCTTCATTCTGAGACTGACTTACATACATGAAACCTGGTTATTGCATTAACTTTGATTTCATCAATATATTTTAAAGAAGGTCACAAAGATGTAGCCCATGGAAGGGGTCTGAACACAATTTCATTGGTTCCTAAAGTTTGACTTTGAATTAGTTGCCAACACTTTAAAATGTGAAAATGTACATCCAAGTCCAGATTTCTACCCACCATAAAAAACAAAACCCAACCACATTAACCTCACTCCTGTCTGACAACAACTCTGCCTCTGACTAGCAACTGTGGCACACATGGGACACACTCCTTCTGTCCCCCAAAATGAGGTTGAGTAGCAATAGAACCACCTTTTTAACCTGCCCATTTCATTCATATATTGCTTACCTGGCCCCAACAGAAACATGAGTTTGTGGCCTTTTGTTTTATAACATTTAAATTATCTTATTATGAAATTATTTATTTAAGGAAAGACTGATTCTATATCATTGATATAAGTACTATATAAGAATGAAATATGTCCATGCTGCTACAGACACCTCCTTTCCCATCCTCTAAATCTTTCCGCCATCCTGTAGCTATTTTAGTATATGATATGGAGTCAATAACAGAAATTATCTACATTAATACTTAATTTTAAACTGTTTCTAAATAACACACTGAAATCATCACCTTATACCAAAACAAAGTTCTTACCACAACCACACAAAGAATATTACTAACTCCAGTCGAGTGCTCAATTCCATCGTACACATCAATTTGGCACTGAATGAGCACAAACATCAAAGCTCCCAATATAATTACCCTCAGTTTTTAAATGTATGAAAAGTCATTTAGAAATAAATACATTTTTTTTAACCTAAGATCATGTATACAAAAGCATGAATGGCCAATAATGGCAAATTCTAATGACATGCTACTGTACAAGAACTGACAGAGCTCCTGTACATACTTGTAGCCATCCCTAATGAAAGTGGCTGCAGGGGGCATGGGCAGTTGTTCAATTTTAGGAGGAATTGCCCACGAAGGCCGGAACAGACAGGCATCAGGTATCTTCAGAGGTAGCAGGCAATGGCTCGGCAACATCTTCAGTGGAGCAAACATGGAAGATCCCACAAAAGGCTGAAAGGGTGGAACTCTGTGCACATATGAAAAGTCCTGTGGCAACAAAAGGGCCGGTGTTAGTTCTGGAAAGCTACTGAGGACAAAACCACAGCTGCGCAGACTTTTATAAACAGCAACAAAAACTACTGTTAATTCATCAGAAAAAAGCTGATGCCAAAATTTTATATTAATCAAGACACTGACAAGTATGCCTCATGCTCCAAAACAAATTGTTCTTAGTCATATATGTATGGCACATCAACAATACCATTTCAAAAACAGTACCTATGGATCCACATGGAAATACCCTGCCTTGGAAAAGTTGATATACTGACAATTACCTTTATTTCCTCTGGTTTGGGACTTCCTAATCCATCTTCTACTTCCATTTTGAATTCTGTGAGGTGTGTTGAAACCATACTGACCATAGGACTCTCCATCATGCCTAATGCTGACACTGTCTCTGAACTGATCCCATCTTTATAATTCATCACAGGAGAAAATGCAGGATGCTGTTCCAAAGATGGAGGGGTGGGGAACATCCTTTGTAAGTCTGCAACTGCTAAAAGAAGGAAAAAAAAGAACATTTCTTTTAACAATCAAGACTTCTAAAAACAAGTCTACTTCACAGCCATGTACCCAATTAGGCACCAGAAAATAATATTAACTGAATCAGTTATACAACAGAATATTAATAATGGAAACTTCTAAGAAGATGGTCTTTGGTAGAAAATTTTACTCCTCTGGTACTTTACTAGTACCTTTTTAATGCTTTATGACATGACTTCATGTTAATTAAGTGAATGAGTGCTACAAAATATGTTTTTCTTCTAGTAATTTATTTCTTGGAAAGTCTAAAGAGATGAATTAAATAGAAACTGGAAGCAATTTGATGGAGTAACCGCATTATTAAAAATTCTATCCATGCTTACAATTATGTATGAAATATTACAGAAAATAAAAGTTGTTTAGAGCCAAAATGGTGGGTTTTATGCAGTACGATTACTTGGTGCAGCTCTTTCACGAAAACAATTCCACACTCTCTTTCTAGGCTGACATTAAAATGAAATTTTATAGTTAGGATCAAAAACCCAACCTAGAATCAAAATAATTTAACATAAAACAACCAGTGGGGAAGGGGAATACTTAGAACAGTGATTCTCAATTAGAAAAAAAAAAAACAAAACACAACTTTACTACACCTGAATATCATCACTAACAGACTCATTAAGATACTGATTGCAGAATATACACCATGAAATACAAGTTGTCATTGTAAAACTCGCCCACTAGGGGGTGTCCTGCACTGCAAATTTATAAAGTTTGAAGCCATAAGTTTAAATCAGCAATTTGGGATCATATTGAATATCCTAATTTCCTATCCTATTGTCTTTCTAGCAATTTCACAATTTAAACAGACAAATAGTCATTACCAAATAGACTAAGATCTGACGTCTAACCCTTAATCAGAAATTAATACAGAACTGTCTCACACAGTCTCAGACTTCCCCAGGCTGCAATCTAAAGCAGAGCTGTATAAAAAAGGGATAGGGGGCTAAGGTCTAAAACCCAGGTAGGGGAATAGCTTTGCTATGGTCAGGTCTCTTCTGCCCTCGGGGCCTCAGATCCCTCAGCTAACTGGGAAGGGTCGACAAAATGTGTAGTTCTCAGCATTTCTTCCATGTTTCCCTTTTTTGGGGGATAGGAGGAACTTCTGAGGATCTCGGCATATACAGGCTGAGAAAAAGTGAGAAAGTCTGGACTAGATCATTTTTACCATGTTGACTAGTGAAATAACTATATAATCCTAAATCATTTACTACGTCTAAGCTTCAGGAGCTATATAAGAAAAAGAGGAGAGAGGCCAATAGGCTTGAAATCAGACCTCAACTTTCACTTCTATTGGAGAAGCTTCCCTTCTATTTGCTATCGTAGGAATCTATATGAGATTCCATTAGAGGAAAGCGGAGAGGATTATGAACTGAAATCAAATTCTGTTCATGTATGAGACTGTTGGGATGAACAACTACTATACATAATTATAAAGCTCTAATTGAAAAAAAAAAAAGATTTCCTTAAACAAAATGGTGCCTACTACTGTGAAGAAGAAGAAGAAGAAGAGCTGAAATCCCAAAGTTAATATTCAAGGCACCTTTTTGCTATGAGAATATTCTACTCGAAAGAAACTGAACAATTTCTAGAAACTAGCAAAACCAACTAAGCCACAAACAAACTACTAGCAAACCATTTTAGACACGATATAGCTGATACACTCTGAGGCAGTTAAGAGTGTAGCTTCCATATTAACAGTTAAGTCTCCTTTAAAACAAAGACGAAGAATTTAATATGGAGTTAGGTTACACTTGAAATAAATCTATTCCCCTTTAAACTTTTCCCAAGCCAAAGAACAGCTACTACAAAATTTTAATATAAGCTAATTTATAAGCATACTATTTTAAATTATTATTCTGCTTTATAAAATCTTTAAATTAGAACTGTCTTAAGATCTTAATTTTCGATATAGATCTGTGAAAAATACAGAAAATGTGTAATGCCTCTCAAAGTCAAAGTGATGGGCTTAACCATTCCAACTATGATAAAATATTTTACAAAAAATGGCTTTATTAAATTAATTTTTGAATTTTCTCTAAGAAATGAAATAAAGGCATATTCCAATTAAGCCTACCCAACTTTATTGATGCTACTTAATGCACTCATATATCTTTAAGTTTTCAAAGTCTCAGGTACCCTGTTAATTTTTATCAAAGGTAACAAAGAAAGCATAGATAAAATTTCACTTGCTAGAAATTCACTTTAAAAAGTGGTCTTCACCATTCTTATTATCATATATTCCTAAAGAAGATTTTTTAACCTAACTTCAATTCTGCATCTGTAAACTGGTAATAATATCTACCTCATATTTTTGTGCGTGTTAAATGAGACGACATGAACACTGTGCCAGGTACAGCTTAAACATTCTGTAAGTGATGAAGTCAGCACAATTCAGTCCTCCCCCCTCAATTCTGGTTTCATTGGAAAAAGATGAAATTGCTGTTCAGGAATTTTCTGAAAAGAGCTGACCCCAGATTAGTTTTGAGATGACGAACGGGGAACTGGCCTCAAAATGGGTAAGGTAAAAAGAAGATAGAGACCCAGAGGAAAAAAATACTTGGTCTTTAAAAATAGAGAAACATGGATTGCCATTCAACTTTCTTCCTAGAGAAGGGCTAAAGTGAAGTCAGGGACAGCTCCCAGAACAGAAGGTAGGGGAGGAAGCCAGCTCCTAGTGCTCCAAGACTTCCACCCTGCGAATCCTCACCACACTTCAGCAGGAACTCAGCCAGGACACAGACCTTCAGCCTTAAACAAACACACACCGCCAGGACCAAAACACTCCACCAGAGGCTGTCCTGTTGATTTCTCAGCATCCTCCCCACCCAGAGCATCTACCAAAGTCCTTTGAAAATAGTTACATGCCGTTTCAGAACAAAGGACGCCAAATAAAAACTCCAACTTTCTTTTGCCTTTTCAAAGATTCATACTTCAAACTGACACACTTCTAGACAAAAATTCGTAAGCAACTAATTAGTAAAACCTGAGAAAAACACCTGTTTGATTACTTTATTGTAACACAATATTCCTTAACACAGAGGTGACCCTACACTAAACCTTGTTGTTAATTTGTTGCTTTCTTCATTATCATATACACAAATTAATAACCACAAACCTGTGCTTTCCAACACTGTAACTACTGGCTGCATGTGGCTACTGAGCATTCAAAATAGGGTTAGGCTAAACCGAGATGAGTTGCATGTATAAAATATATAAAATATAAATATACAAAGAGTAACACAAAAATGTAAAATATCCCAATAACTTTTTATACTGATACAAGGATATATTAAGATAGAATATTATTATCAAAACTTATTTCACATTTTTCACTTTTTTAGCATAGCTACTAGAAAATTTAGAATTACATATGTGGCTGTCATTTGTGGCTCACTTTGTATTTCTATTGGACAGTGCTGTTCTAGACATTAAATATTACACATATGTCTTTCCACCTCAACATCCAATAAAGCTACTACAGATATGAAAACTTATTGCTAGTCTATTTTCATTGTCATTTCTTGGGAGGAAATACTGTATAAATGTCTATACACCACCCTCCCCCAAACACAAATTTACATACATACTTTTATCTGGCTCTTCCTAGTGATAATATTTCATATTAATTAATTTTTATACCTATACTTTATCATCAAATTCTGAGTAGCTTCTTCTCAAAACAATTTCTTCTTGAATAAAAACGAAAGGAGAGAGCACGCAGTATACTCTATTGGGCAAAGACATAACAAGCAGGACATCTGTGACATGCTCCCAGGCACTTTAACATCTTATATCACTGCTTATCACTTCATGTCAAAAAGGGCAAAGGGTTAACTGGGTATTCAAAAGGAAAAAAAAAAAAAAATCACTCATCTGACCTACCCCATATGTATCTATTTTAAAACTATTTCTTTTAATCTGTGAAGTTCCGTGTTTGTAAAAATTCTGTAGTGCAGAGTAATAAAAAAAGGAAAATGTTTAATTAAAAAACTACAGCAATTGGCTGGCCATCATTATTCATTTTCAGTCATGTCATGCTTGAGAAAGCTTTGCATATTTAAAAAAGTGATAGATCCACTAAAGCTGTCAAAATCCAATCTCTGTATACTTCCCACTTCTACATTTGAGTAAATCAGCACTACATTTATAGGTTCATAAAACTTTTTGACTCATCCCTGTGACACAGTGGTTTTTCCCCTCAATTTGTTCTCATTACCAGATGAAGTTAATGAGAAGGTATTGAAGAATGATTTGCTATGGAATTATGTCTCTGCTTCAGAGAACTTTTACATGCTGCCCTGACTTTCCTTTCTCTTATACAATAATGTGGCTTCTTAGAAAAAAGAATGTACTAAAATATACTATATGTCCGCATATATATGAGAAAACTCCTTGATCTCAAAAGAAAACACAAAACTCAGGTGGCTGAGGCAGGAGGATCCAAAGTTCAACTTAGCAAGATCCCTGTCTCAAAAAAAGACTGGAGATTTAGCTTAGTGATAAAAGGCCCTGGGTTCAATCCCTAGTACCATGAATGAGTGAAAGACAGACAGACAGACAGACAGACAAAAACTTCATTGTGAATTAGTAGTAGTAGTAGCAGCAACAGTAGCACTATTGAACACAGGGTGATCTACCACTGAGCAACATCCCGAGGCCTTTTGATTTTTTGAGACAAGGTCTCCCTAAATTGCCCGACTTGTACCAAACTTGCAATCTTCCTGCCTCAGCCTCTCAAGTCACTGGGATTTCAGGTGTAGACCACTGTACCTAGCTCAATATGAATTTTGAAAAGGACCACAGAAAAGAAAGTCATTATTTTTTAATTAAATTTATGAAAATGGAAATGTTTTGTACAATGTCTCATAGTGAAATATCTCTCTGAAAATCAGAAGTGCAGCATTTATCCTACTAGGAGGGGACTATTAGAAAAATAAACCAAAAACATGTTTTTCTACATTTACACTATAAAAGTTAGCTTTTTTTTTTTTTTTAAATACCTGGGACTGAACCTAATGGTGCTTTTCCACTGAGCCACTTCATCATCCCTTTTTATTTTTATTTTGAGATAGGGTCCCACTAAGTTGCTGGCCTCAGACTTGTGATCTGCCTCAGGATTCCAGTTGTGCGCCACCATGCCCAGCACAAAATTAATTCTTAATTTCAACACAAAAGAAGGCTGCCTGCTAATCTCTCAGGAAGATCAACTTGAACAAGTTTTAACTTATAATTAGAATTTTGTCAAAAGCGAAAATAAAGAGGGAAATTTCAGAAAAAGCACCACCGATTTTGAGAACTTTTCTATGAGAAGTTTATAGCAGCAAGCCTGAGCTCAGTTGGCTTTATCCACATACTTGGTGGGTATGGAACAGCAGCTCTTCCATCCTTCCCAAGAGGTCGGTCTTCCGTCCCAACCGTAGGCATTTTTGATGAGCGCAGTGCAGGTGATACAGCCTGAGAACAGATAATGATGGTGATCGTGATCATTATTATTAAAACAGAGGAGCACACAGAGTCAGCATTTTGAAGAGTATGCCTCCTGAGATTCAAAAAAAAAAGATGCTTCCTTACACAGCATTCACCAGGTGAACTATCAGAAATCCCAGCAGAACTGTGAAACACAGGACATGGTCATAAGCTTAGTGAGGAAGAAAAACTGAGAGTCCTCCCTCATGGATCTACTAAGGGCAGATTACGCCATCACAGTAAAGTTTACAGACCTTCAGCAACTTTCCCTCTCAGGTCACTAGAAAAACTGTTTCTCAGACAGTTTTTCTGATTATATTAGGGTGGAGCTTCAGCAGTGACTGGCAACTGGTCTAGATTTCCTTCTGTTTGGAAGCAGGCAGCTTCCAATTATTGATCTCCAATTATTTTTATTTTTACCACAATGAACTATGTACCTTTGATATCTATTTTGACAGTTAGTGTTCATCTTCTCTCTCTCTCTCTCTCTCTCTCTCTCTCTCTCTCTCTCACTCACACACACACACTTTATAAAATTATTTAAATACACAGAGATACTTTGGTGAATTACTAAAAAAAAAAATCAGTTCCCTTAGTAGGCAAGATCATCTTTAAGAACTCAAACTGGTAACAAAACAAAAACACTTAAAGAAAAACAGAAATATTACAAATAGAAGGTCTTTTATTTACATAAAATTAAATTCAAAGATAATTCAGATGTAAACTTGGCCATCAGCCTCTACTTACTAGTTAGATGAAGTAGCAATAGATTCTAAGATAAACTATTCATGTGATTAAATGCTAGACCAGAAATCAGTTAAACAGAAACACTCAGAGAAATGAAAATTCAATTAAAAATGTCCAACTAACTAAAAATTATATTCTCTAAATTTAAGCATTACTTCATATCACTCAATAAACTTACAAATTATTCAGAAAATAAGTTCAATGGCACAGAGCACACTCACAATCACTAGGGAGGGTGGCTATGAATAGTGCCAGGCAATCCATACTGTTTACTTTTTCCCTTGCTACTTTTTTGATTTTTGATTCTTTTTCTTGTCATACTTTTCCTACCACCACCACCAGAGCATCTAACCTTGCTCTCAGGATCCTTAAAACCAATGACAGGCAGTGCCTGGCTTTCAAAAGGTAGTTCAAAAAGGACCTTCAATGCCTGAATAGGAAATGTGCTGTTTCTTCTACCAGAGTTTTGCACATTGCCGTGTTCTCTTCTTTCACAATGCCACTGCCTGAATTAAGGTTTTCCTGTTCTAATCCAACAAAATAACAAATAGGGATTCTTGCTTCCTGCATGTTAAAATAGTAAAAAAACAATATGCACTTCTTACAGTGCACAACCACCCCAACAGCCTTCCTAGGAACATGTTACCGATAGTGTCAAGTCCAGAGCCTCACTCCTGGTCCAAACCCTTCCAAGTCCTATCAGACTTTGGCCACCAAGAAATAGCAGACTAGTGAGCTGTTCCTCATCCCCCCAATCCTATCCTTTCTTGCTGCTTAATCAGGGCTCATTCCACACTCAAATTAACATCCCTCCCTGCTTCTAACTGCCCCCAGCCTTTCCAGATTTCAAGTCAAATCATTCTTCAAGGCCTTTATGATCTTCTAATCTTCCAAGTATTTATAACACTAATGGTGTATAATATCTGTTAATTAGCCACTTTTGATTTTAAAGTTAGAAAGGACTTTAGAAATCTGATCTCTACTTAACCTTTAAGCCTAATTTAAACACCAATGTCCTGTCATTCTGTACTTGAATGAATGTTCAGCATCCTTAGATTCTGATCTGTTCCTGCACTCATAAGTATACTGCAACTTTATATGCTGTTTTTCCTTAAGTCTGAGTGTCTGAAGTACAAGGGTGATAATTTAATCATATTTATGGCGTGATGATCAGCTTTAGTATCTGCCACAAAGGAAGTAATCATCACATGATTAACAAATGTATATAAAATGGATGGGAGGGTTGGTAAGTGAATAAATGAAAGAATAATGAACTGACTTCTTTGAAAAGAGAGCCTATGTTGCTCATCTCTGGGTTCAGAATAACAGGTATTTATGTTTGTCCAAAGATACAGAGCTGATTAAGAGGATGAGCACACAAATTCCTGTTAGCTCAGCTGATCTGCAAAGAATTGTAATTCTTACCTGTCACTATAATCATGACTTTTATTAAATAATTTGACTTCCACATGTATAAATTTTATTTCCCTACCACAATACTAAGATCCTAAAAAGTATAGACCATTTAAGTGTGCATTCTTCAAAATGAAGACTAACCACTAGTTTATTAGATAAGAAAAAGGTATGTGGGCATTATATTAAAAATCTGATTTAAAGAAATACACATAATACATTTCCTATTAGTCCCATAATATTCAGAGGAATTTACTAAAATATATGTGAAAGATTTTAATATTTACAACTCGAAACACACTAGTGGAAAGCAGGGATCAACAAACAAAACCCTAGAGGTTTAGCTACTACACTAACAACTTTTTTTTTTTTTAATATTTATTTTTTAGTTATCGGCGGACACAACATCTTTGTTTGTATGTGGTGCTGAGGATCGAACCCAGGCCGCACGAATGCCAGGCGAGCGTGCTACCACTTGAGCCACATTCCCAGCCCAACACAACTTTTTGAATCTTTCAAAGCATACAAATATTTTTGAAGAAACTTCAGAACACGAAATCATAGCCCCCCAAATGAGTTGATCAAAATACAAAAAAAAATAACAAAACAGACATTAAATCCTCCTTTGATGAAATTGTTCTATGTGTAGAACACAGAACATACTATACACTCACCCCAAGTTCATCATCATCAGAATTATCAAAGATGTTGTCTAAGTCATGCAAGGAAGGTGCCAAATCTGTCACCTGCGTAAGGCTACTGGAGCCAGCTCTGCCAGCTGCATTATCCTGCCGGACATCTGTAGGACAGAAGGCAAAAGAAACGTAATGAGCAGCTCCATCAGGCAAGAAGAAGTGAGGAAAGGACATGGATCTCAATGAACATGATCTGCTTGTGATTTTCCCCCCTATGGTTTTAGTTAAATTTAGAGACAATTATTTCCAAATATGTTCATCAGCTTTGAAAGGAACTGAAAAACAAACTATAAAAATATATTAAAGATGAGATCAAATCATTGCTATAACAATAAATATAATTTTAAATTGAGACTCATCTCCCTTGCATTTTATTTTAGCAACAATCCAAGTGAGGCAAATAATCATTGTACACACCTGTTTTAGGAGCAGAACTGAAAATAGACATGGCATTTTTCCCATCAGGCACCGGCGTGGAATGACCTGGTGTAGTGACATCCTTGGTACCAAATCCATCCTCTGACTGTATAATAAATTCAGCCAAACAAAACACATGAACACCAACCCAAAGTGTGGAATATGAGGGAGAACACAAAGAATTAGAGGGTAGAATGGAATTTGTTATGAGCACAAGTATATGATAAATCATGGTCTATGCAACCAAAGGATACAGAAGATATGTCCTTGCTCTGGAATTTAAACAGAACCAAGAACTCCCCACTGTCCCCTCAATCCTATGGGGTAATCTGAGTGAATCAGGGGTTTATTCCTCAATAGTACTGGTGGCAACTGATTACAGACCTGCCGTGGTGTTAACAGCTGCCTTTACCAACATTTTAGACAATGAATTATAGATTAAGCCTTCTGGATCTACACAGATCCTTGTAAAAGAATCTAAAAAACATTGCCCTCAACTATACTGGCCTCTTTCAATTGTCACTTTTCTACTCTAGAGAATCTTTCTTTAAATGGCCCAGTATTTTAGAATGTCTTAAAATTTAAGGTTAAAGACAGCAGAAAGACCCAGTACTCACTTGTATGACAATGAAACAGTAAAATTAATACTCAGAGTCTATGGATAGTGTTGACGTTAGTTCAGAGAATATATAGGTATAGCGCTTAGCACAGTAAGCATAATAGGCGCTCAATAAATGGTAGGTACTATCATAATCATTCTTTCTTTACATTTTGGGTATTTGGGAATAATATTTAAAAAGAAATAGGCAGGGAGCATAGGCCAACAAGAATTAGCATATGAGAAAACATGCACTGTAGAAGCTATAGCCTGGAAAATATGCAGCTTCATTTATGTTCGGCTGACTTTTAAACAAAGGTAAGCCATGACATAAAAAGGAACAATACGCTGTTCAATACAATAGTACCAAGAGCATGAACATGGGGACATAGCAATCAGGCAAGACTACCTCGAACATTCTGCCTCAAGTCTTCCCACACAGGTTGCACTAACAGAGATAGAAAACCACACCGTGCTAGGTTCGCTCTGTAGTAAATGGTACCTTATTCTTTTTCAGGGAATCCTTCTCTGTCCCTTGTTTGCATTTCTTATTTGCTGTGAAGATGTATTTTATGTCGCCATCTTCAAAGGTATATGGGTCATTGACTTCTCCCAAACTGTCTCCAGGTTGCTGTGACAGAGGCAACGGGTCAAGGAAGTGGAGTGACTGCATCTGGGGCTGCTTGTCTTGCCAGATTTTAAACCGTTTATTAGGTTGTGCTAAGAGTCTAAAAGGGAAAGTAAATGATAAATTGAACAAGATAAACAAAGTAAAATGATTATTTTAAAAGAAAAGAATTTATACTTTAGAGGATTTTCAACAAAGCTTTTTAAAAAACTAAAAATTCATCTACATTGTGATTTTTCTTTTCAAGATTACATTGGCAATTAAATAAAATTTAGCAGGCTTCATCAAGAACATGTCTTTGTCTCCGATTCCATGAATTGCACTTAAAAACAGTTCTCAGGACAGAGAACCTAGGTTCAAATTTTCTCTGCAAAACCCTAGTCTTTCAGTTATAAAGTTAGCATAATAATATGGCTGTGGTAAAGATTAAATGAGATAATATTAATGTAACATAAATACATAAATGTAATGTATTAATATAAATATATAAAGTATTTAGAATAATGGGTGGTTCAAAAGCGTTAAATATGTTATCACTAGATGTATAATACATACCTAAGGGCACGCAAAGCCTTCCTCAAAAGTGTCATCATACAAAGACAGCAATATGAAAGTTTCATAAACATAAATTCTTTGATAAGCAAGCAGAAGACCAAAAATAAATTAACATATACTGAGTATATTAGAATGAAACAGAGACCTTCACATGCCAGTGTGTTTAAATAACGACACATGTGCTAAACCTCATGAAGGACAAATTATTTTCAATATGCAGAAATTAGAACAGTTTGATTTGGGGCCTGCTGGTTCAATGGGGAAAGATGAGGAGAACCCTGATTCTGGGAGCACCCCTGCTGTGATGCCTAACAGGTGGGTGGTGGAGGGGTTACCTTACCTTTGCAGTGCAGTGCTCTCTGAGTTCACCTCCATTTTGGCATCACATCTCTCACCCTGGAGCTCTGGAGGCCTGAACTCAGCATCATCGCTGGCTGGGAGACGAAAACTATGCCACCATTTATCTGATGACTCTGGGTTTGAGGGCCTAATCCCACAATATAAGGCTGTCTCGCTGACCTCTGCCATCAGAGGCAGTCTTTGGCCTACGAGGACAGTTCTGTCATCTAAAGTAGACAACTGCTGAAGTTCTAGCCCATTTCCATAGAGGGCTGGATTCACAGGGACAGACGGTGGATCCAAACTTTCTGTTTCCTGACCTCGTGGCTGAGGGCTGAGTGTTGGTGGCAGAGGGGAAATAGGGGAATGAGGTGAATCCATAGGATTCAGATTCATTTGCTTGCTTGTATTTCTGGAAGGCACGGCCATTTGCTTATCATACTTCCGACTGCTAGACACCTCTAAGGAGGAGTCCATCCCTGCCAACCCTAGTTTCTGTCCCGGTGTATCCTGTTCCATGCATAACTCTTCAGCCACAGACGGCCGATGATGAAAGGGTATCAAGGGTCTCTTTTGCAACTTGTCTCCTTTTTCTTGTCTTTCTGTTGTTTTGTGCTTAGAAGAAGCAGGAGGTGGTAAAGATGATGATGATGATGGTCCTGCACTGAACCCTGGTTGAGACATTGTGGGAGGTCGACTGGGTCCTACTGCACACCGTTTTAAAAGTTTATGCCTAAAATAAAAGTTAAAATGAAGTCAATGATACATTGATAAAAATAACTGCATCAGTATAACATAGAAAAGAGATGCCTTTGACAAAGTTATCTTTTATGCACACATTAAAGACTTAATATGTTTAAAGGCTTCTTTCAGGTTTTAATTATGTTTACAATGACTAAAAACATATAATACAGCCTGACAGAATGTGAAGCACCAGTATGTACAAGCTAAGCAGGAAAAAAATGGACTTAACAAGAAAGGTAAATTGTTAATATGTTTCTAACAGCTACAAAATTACTGATTTGAAAAAACTCCTTATTGTTTTAATTTGGTGAGGGCCTCATATAATCCACTCTTAACAGTATATTAAAATCTTTTAGAGTCACAAGATTGTCTGCTCAGAAAAAAACAAAACAATTTTCAATTTCAATTTTATAATATCACTAACTCTCATACAGAATGGTGTGTAATTACTTATAGTGTTTAAAGTTGGAAATGAAATTAAAACAAATCTCCCTGTAAAGTATGAAAGTAAAATAACGAGGATCCATTCCTAAGAACATTTAATATGATAAATATACTAAAAAACTTATCTGCCCACAATAACCAGGAAAAAAGGAATAGATGACAACTTTGGATCTCACCAGCCACAGGTTAAAATAAGACAGAAGTAAAAAGTTTGTAAAACAATATACTAATGTAAATGGACGAGCTAAGCAAGAATACAAGTCTGCTCACATCCTAACAAACTTCTTGGCAAGCATGGGTGTGAGAAATGGTTGAGTAAGGACCTCCCAGATGATGCCAAGTTTTAATCTGTGCAACAAAGTTATATAGCAGGTCAGCGGGTTCCTCCCAATGTATAAATCATTCCCAGGGAAAAAATGTAAGCTCTCCTGTGGTGTAGCAGTAACTCTGAGGCCACTAGGGTGGAATTAAATTACTGCTGCATCACACTAAATGATGCCCTAGTGGGCAGTAAAACGGATTTGTGTGGCATAATGGGATGGTTTAGTGGGACAGCAGGACAGCTGCCCTGTTCCGTAAGACCATTAAACAGTGGGAGGAGTGGACCATTCCACCGCTTGGGTTTGGTAATCCTGCAGCAGATAATCTGAAAACACTCTTGCCAAAATCTCTACTTTTCTAAAAAGATAAAATCAGAATTCCTGATTTTGAAGTAGGTTATCTAAGCATAAGGCTATAGATAGTTCAGCCAGTGGTGTACACTAAGCAATAAGGATACAGTACCATAACAGGTGAATGTCTCATCAGAAAATACATCCATTATAGCTTCTAGAAGTACTTATTTTAAAATCTAGGCTCTAAAAAAATCTTTTACACAATCTTTTTCTGATTTGGATTTTCTCAGCATTTAACAATTGTAGTCTAATATCAGATAGAAACTTTATGGCAGACTCTTCAAAGTAAGTACTTTTGTAAAGCAGATAATCTTACAAAGCGGGTTCTTTCAGCTGTATTAAATGATTCAGTTACACTGCAAAATGGTTAGACTGAGGAATGTGCCTGTAGATAACAAACTATCCTGTCAAATCTCCAAGTACGAAAGAAACCCCACAAGAGCAGACAGCAGGAAGATCAGGTCAGAAGGCACACTGGTCACTGGGCAGGAAGAAACAAGAGGCAGAGCCAGGCAGCAAAAAATACATGGTGAATAGAAGAATGAGAAAAGGATGACAGTAGACATTTCAAAGGGAGTCCCTACACAGACTAGATTTAGAAAATGAAAAAAAAAATAGACAAGTGATTAAATTTCTAGGCTGAAAGGCATGGGGGGGGGGTGTGAAGTGTAGGCAGTAAGGGACCTGGTATGTAGGAAACTGACATGTTTAATACTAAGGATCTGGGGACCAAATCCAGGGCCCTGTGCATGCCAGGCCAGTGTTCTACCACTGAGCCACATCCCCAACTCCAAGAATATTTAACTTTTGTTTCTTTTCTTTCTTCCTTTTTTTGGGGGGTGGGGGAGTGGGAGACAGTGGGTTAACAGGAGATTAAACACAGGGTCATTCTACCACTGAGTTTCACCCTCAGCTCTCCCTCTTTTTAAATTTTTTTGATTTCGAGACAAGATCTCCCTAAGTTGCCCAGGCTGGGCTTGTGCTTTCAATCTTCTTGCCACAGAGGTCTGCTGAAATGAAAGGCATATACCACTGCACCCAGGCCCAAGGATATTTCCTTTTTTTTTTTTTAAATTTTAATATTTATTTTTTAGTTTTTGGCAGACACAACATCTTTGTTTGTATGTGGTGCTGAGGATGGAACCCGGGCCGCACGCATGCCAGGCGAGCGCGCTACCGCTTAAGCCACATCCCCAGCCCCCAAGGATATTTCTTAACAGCACCACCACGAATACAAAACTAGAGCACAGATGAGAAGTCAGGTCTAGAAATAAATATTTGGAAGTCAATGGGATGGTGGCCCTGATATGCATACATCTATTTAAGAAGAAGAAGAAGAAGAAAATAAGATCCGAAGGTATACGAATCTGGTGAAGAAACTGATCAACAATCCAGAGCACAAAAGGAAGAGCACCATCTATTTATTTATGCTGATAAGTATCCCCAAAATAATTCAAAGTATAGCTACTAAAAATGTGAACTAAATCAGTAAAAAGGGTTTTATTTTTAATGTGAAAAATCTGGATTAAGAAAAACAGCAGGAAAAATAAGATGAAGGCAGAAGTTACATACACTATAATTTATATTCTATGTACTTGCTAAAGGTGGACCACAATATGGTTGTGAGCTGTCCATAAATCAATGCTAATAGAAAAATACTTTTTCTCACACAATTTACAGCAGCCTAGATAGAAAATAAAACAGATATTCAGCTGCAGTATACCATACTTATGCTAAGACCAGAGAGAGATCCTCACATGCTAACAGAGGACTCTTAATGTGCAATTTCTTCAAAAACATCTTCCTAGAAAATTAACTATGCATTTTATTAAGCGGATACAACACCTTTCAACAAGAGGTTGGCTGCCAAGGCAGAGCTTAATAGGAGAATCAACATGAAGGGCCGGAGAGAATAGGAAGAGGTGTCAAATCATTCCCTTATTTTAGTTACACAAAAAGGTTTACATACATTCTTAGGGGGCATATGGACCATCTCCCCATTAAGAACTTTTCACTTAAACTAGAGAAATTAATGGCTATACTTTAAATATACTTAACTAAACTTTTCATAAATATTTAGCAATGTCAAATTTAAAAATATGTACTTTAGAAATAGAGCTGCTTTAAATTGCTCAGTAAATGAAAAAAAATCAAGATGTGCTCTAACAGTCAAATGAGCTGGTAGATAAGACTTAAATCCATTTAAAAATTTTAAAAACTCTCATGAAAATCCATGGCAAAATATTTTACTGCCACAATAAGTGGTAAGTCAAGGGACAATCTACAAGGAATGCAAAAGTTTTCTAGAGAACAATTCGGGAGCCTATCCAAACTTCTAAATGAATGAGCACTTATAATGCTATGCCTACAACAATTTTAGCTTTCAGCAGGTGCTACCAAATACCTGCCATAGTCATTCTAAAACATTCCCACTAACACCAACCTTTTCTTTTATTACAGAAGGTAATAAAAATTACCTAAAAAATTCTATTAATTTAAGCCTACCTATTTTCAATATGTATCTCCATTTTAAAATTAATTAAAATTCCAATATGTATCTCCATTTTTAAATTGCTAGGGAATGTCTTGCCAAACTGATGCCTTTAGTTTTAAAGCAGCTTACTAGAAGAAATTAGTGGGAATAATGTGATGACAAGGCCAGTTGTGTCCAATAAGCTCTTTCTGATTCCTGACAATAAAACTGTATCACCTGCATATAAGAAAAGACTGTTTTCTTCTTTAGTCAAAAAGGAAGAAGATTTAAAACAAAACAAAAAGAGAGGATTGGTAGGTAAGGCCAGGAAATGAACCACGAACTGTGCCTCCTTCTCTTGGACCACAGGGTTTGCCTTTTTATTACCCACCTGGAACAAGAACAGCTGACTCTTTGGGTTGGATCCACAAAATCCCAGGTAGCAGGATTGTTAGCAGGCTCTTCTTCAAGAGTTGGAGTTGACATTTGGCTCCTCCTAAAACAGTGCAAAATATGACTTATGTGTAAACACTGAGATAACACACTCATTACCCTGTGGGAAAAAATGCAATGCTAAAAAGAATTGAATACATTTCACACAGTCATGATATCCTGCTGATATTTTAGTTTGGAGCAACCATGTGGAGGGGGAGAACCTGCTCTATGCCCTAGAAGCAGAATGGAAAATATTCCTATATATGTTTAATGAACATTTTAACACAGGTGATATATATAGCCATTAATATATCAGACATTATTAGCTTTTGCTTTTTTAAAGGTCACCTAAAAAAAAGTCATCTAAATTATGTATGAATAGTGTTCTAAATTAATGTTTTCACAGCATCATTAAATTACATACACTCAATTAGATTGTTTAAATCACTCTTAAAACTCCTTTAGTACTTATTAGCATTTAAGGGTAGTGCTTTAGCACTTATTAATGTGAAGTGAAAGATGGAAAAGAAAAACTTCACCCACATGTTGATGATTATCAGTAGCAAATCTCTATTATTACATAATGAAAATAAGAATTTCTGATTTAGGTACAGCTGATACTACAAAGTGGTTCAATGATAGCTCTCTAGGGAGTTCTCTTGCTCCCCATTCTCCCCTACCTTCTTGGGTGTCTCACTACCCCGTTCTGTGATAGTAATAGGAGGCTGAGGGCTGTTAAAGTTGGTGGAGATGTAAAGTTAGTGATGATAAAAAAAAAAAAAAAAAGATCATTTGTAAGTGACTAGAGATACTTCTTAAGCTCTATAATATGATATGATTTTCCACTACAATTATTTGAAATTTTATCTACTACATTTTCTAGAATCAATTCATTGGGAAATAAACATTTAGTATGAATTTGCTAAAATCCACATTCAAAAGACCAGTATGTAAAACTCTCAACAGTCTTCACTTAGGAAACATTTAATTCACTTCTAAATGAGTGAACTTGTTAGCAGTTATTGACAAGAATGTCCATATTCAGTCTTCACAAGAAAATGGAGACTCATTTGTTTACTTGAATTATTCAACAAAGTGGATATCTCACCCACATTAAAAGAGATATGAAACTCGCATTAGATTAACATAAAACTTGGCAAGTTGAATAGTATTTACTAGCTATTGTTGGTCATTATCATTGAGGTCATTAAAATAATTACCCAAAGTCTCTTTTTAGAATTGATTCTCCCTTCCCCCCCCAAAAAAAAGTTATAAAGAAAGAAGGGATAAAGGAAGGAAAAGAAAAGGGGAAGAAAAGCTGGGTAGAGGAAGAAAAGAATATAGCTTCCTCAAATCAAAAAACAGGGGTAAAACAGCTAATATACACCCCTCAGTTCAATTCAGGTACTGTTGATTACAACATAAAGCAGTACACGATAGTAAATTGTCAAAAAGGGTTATTTCCCTTTGCAATTGGAAAGCATTCATAAACTGGTATACAAAGAAAAACCAAACCCACTGATTACTATCCTGACAGAGTGAATCTCTGAGCTATTTATGTTGAAAAATGAAAAGGTAATATCAAATCAGTTTCCTGATTTTAACATGTCTATTTTGAATTTCATTCTATTAAGCTTAAAAAAGATGAAACAACAATCCAATGACCTCTCAAATTTGGCCACACAGTACAGTGTGACTGACCCGCTTCATACAGCAAAACAGGAGATGGTCACTAAATCACAATCCAGACATAATCCAGAAAACATACTTGGACTGGGTTCTGTTGAGGATGCATTCCTTCCAGACTCGATGAACCATATGATTGTGGAGTTTTGGAGGAATCTTCCCCGATCTCTTTGGACTGTGCATAGTTAACATCCCCCCATCTTGGGAACCCAGGTGACTGGTAGCACTCTGCATAACTCCACTCTCTCCTGGAAAACAAAGACAACTTGGAGTGTTAGAATGTTCTAAAAATGTCTCCTCATGCACAGACTGCTACTGTATTTAAAATACACATTTTAATTGTTGAGAATCATATTCACTGTAGCTTTGTCCCTACCCCTGGCAATAACATCATAGGTAGCTGTGAGTGAAATCTGTGTCAGGGTATTTTGTTGTCCCCTTCTAACATTCTATTTCCCTAAAGGAACTGATTCAATCAACAGTCAAAGCCATCAGGGAATACACATACAGAGGCACGTACTGGATACAACTTACAAGGAAGAGCTCATAATTGCATTATTAAAGATGTAAATGTGCTTTGATTGTTTTGAATTTTAAAAACCGAACACAGCAAATGTTTCAAGGGAGAACAAAACAGTAGAGGGAGCTTTATGCCCATTTAGCAAAACTGGTTGTGTAACAACAGCACACAGTGCCTGAGAAGAAGAACTTAATAGCACAGGCTTTTAGCAAGGTCAAATTTCAAATTTGTGTGTGGAACTGTTTGTCCTCATGCCTGACACTATTTAAGAAAGTTTAGTTCTAAAATACTGAAAAGGGTTGTCTTGACATTTTATGTCAGAGGATTAAAAATTCACTGGTTTCGCTCTAATAAGTTCACTTACTTTTCCAACTAAAATTGATGTATAATCCATTTCTTTTCACTATGACCACTGATGATATAAGTACTGTGTGAGTATTTTACTACTTCTGCCTCATAAAAGACAAATAGTAAAGTCAATTTCTAATGTTAAATTATGATTTAATTACTTTCACTTGATTAAATAAATATATTGTGGGTTTTAGTCTCAATAGAACAATGATACAAAACATCTTCACCAAAACAGTGTATTTAAGCACTCTGGAAAATCTCCACTCCTATTTGAAAAAGAAAGATGCAATCTTATAACACAAACTAAATATTCTTTGCATCAATGCAACACAACCATTACTCAGGGCTGAATGGTCAGGCCTGGCTCTGCTTTTAAAAACAAAACCAAACCTAAATGTTTACATTCTAAAGAATTAAACCCCAAAAAAGTACTGTTATATTACATTATATTAAGTGAGATCAATTAAAGGAGACAACAAATTTGGTCTTTCATTGCTACCTTTAAAGTTTTTTTGCCTTGGTTCATTGTGCAATAGAATTCATTTCAATTTTATAATTGGTTTTCATGCCTATTACACAAACTAGGCAACTGAAGAAACAGAAGAAGATAAAAGTCCTCATCCCTACACATCTATAAAGCAGCTAAAGAAGCTACATTCCCACAGTTCATGAGGGAGTAATTTATGACCCCAAAAGGAGAGGCAGAGGAAAACAAGCAACAGAGACTCTTCTGATTAAAGCTGGGTTAGTGCTTTTCAGTAGCACTTAATAACCATACTGAACTGTGGGTGCTATCTTACATAGACTTAAGGCTGTACTACAAGCTGGTAACTGCACATTGAATGTTGTTACCTCCAATTACCTCCATATATCAAACACAAGAGGCAAGTGGGTGCACCTATCCAGATAAGGCATGAGTGATTTCACCAACCATTTGGCCCTCTTATATCCCTGCTAATCTAGGAGACCCTCGGCCATTTTAAGGGGTAAAATAATCCATTCTGTCCTGTATCTAGGAAAACACAGCAATGTTTAATGTTAGAGTGACTAGGATTCTTCTTGATGGTCCTAATTTATATTTTCAACATACTGTTACTTCAAAATAAGGGGCAAATTCATTTTAGTCAAAGGATATCAGAGGCTGAAACAGGAGGACCATGAGTTCAAAGCCAGCCTCAGCAACTTAGTGAGGCACTAAGCAACTCAGTGAGATCCTTTCTCAAAAATAAAAATATAAAATAGGACTGGGAATGTGTCCCAATGGCCGAGTGCCCCTGAGTTCAATACCTAGTACCCCCGCCCAAAAAAAGGGTATCAGAACCTTTTATTTCTCCAAGGCCAGCCATAATACCATACAAAAAAATTGGGAGGGAAGGAATTTGAAGATTTAGAGTTATGAAGCCCACAATGAAACCCACCATAAACAAACCCTCTTCTTTTTGAACTGTGAAATTTAGAGTTCTGAACTAATCAGGTCAAGGCAACATATACACATCAATTCTAGTTGAATACAATTTCACTAAACACCTGACAAACAGATAAACAAAAAACTGATAATTTAATAATTGCACATTATTAAGTTTATTAAAATTATTAAAATGAAGTAGTGTTTGCACATAACTCACACACTTAAATAATTTCTAGATCACTTAAAATGCCAAATGCAATGTAATTGCTATGTAAATAATTGTTACACATTATTGTTTAGAGAATACTGACAAAGGGAAGAAAGCCGGTATGTGTTCAGTACAGACACAACTGTTTTTGCTTGAGTATTTTCAGTCTGCTACTGATCGAACCCACAGGTGAAGAACATGCAGAAACAAAGGGCCAAATGCAAAATTTTTTCCCCACCACCTCAGCAAACAAATGGGCCTTTATAAACTAAAACATAAATTAAAAGGGAGGAGGGGAGCGGAGACTACATGTTGTCCATTTCTGTCTCCCACATGGTATCTGCATAATTACTTCCAAGCAATTTAATAACATGTGCTGCAACTGCAATTCTAAGTACTGCTTTAAATATTCTGAACTTTCCATTTGTATACTTCTATATTATTTAAAAGTACTTTCATGTACCCTACTTAATACTTCTAACAATCCTGTAAAGCATGTTTTAAACAGAAAAGGAAACTGAGGTTCAGAATAAGTATGAGAATTAAATACATTCACCTTGAAAAATGTATGAGAGGACAAAAATTACAAACTCTAGGGCTTTCCCTAAATATATTCACTAACCACAGACATTTACTGAATGCTCACTATGTAGCAAATTCAGCAATTACCATGTAGGCATATATAGTGTTTGAATATTTGTTTTCAAAGTTTAGAAGCCAAGATTTCATTTACTCTGATGTTCCTGCCATCATGGTCCACATTAGATGCCCATAAATAATCCTATTTCAGCTCAAGTATGATAAGTATACTTTCCTTAGTGACCAAATTTCCAATTAAAATGAGGTCACTACAAAAATAAAAAAAGTTAATATAAGAAATACACTACTGAACAAAGAAAGCAAAAATGTTCCCAATTTAAACAATGATGGAAGACGTTTCAAACTATCAAATTTTTTCATATGTAATTAATATTTATTAATAATGAAACATACAACTGACAGGACAAAGGTCAGAACTCTGAGGTGATACGCTAACTTTACAATAGAAAATATTATAACAGAAAGAGAAATGTCCAAGACATGTCCTTGGTTAGCATGGCCATCTGGGCAAAGATATAGATGTGTGTACAGAAAGTAGGAGCAACAATCAAACTATTCAGTTAAAGATACAATTAATATATGCACAACTAAAATCCTGAAACTTAAAATATTCTGTTTCAAGTTTTTCTTCTCCATGTTGTAAAATCCCTAAATACTCTCTTACCTCCACCTCTTCCACCTGGAATTTCTCGGTGGTGTTCACGTGTTCCATGGCAAGGGAGCTAGTGCCTTTCTGGGATCTCTTCTACCCAGGAGACTGCTCAATCACACTCACCTGTGATGGCCTGCTCTGGAGAGGTGGGAGGGGTCAGAGGCATCCCACAGTTACTTGGGTCCTTCACACTACCAAGCCCCGGCTGCCCAACTGTAATATGGCCTCCAGCAGTGGCAACACTCTGAGGAACTGGGATGTCATTCTGAGAGATCAATACAAAAGCTGAAGGGTAGACCATCCGAACACCACCTGTAAGGGAACAGAGTGAGGCCTGAGAAAGAGTTCACACAGGAAAGTCAAATTCACAATTCCTGGGGTTGGGTTCAAAGTTCAATGGGAAACTGAAGTGCTAACAAAAGTGATATGTTTCATTCTTTCCAAAGTTAATAGCTGTTTGAACATGCACTCCAACCTGATGATAATAACATTTGGAATACAGGGACCATGGTTGCTTCAGGCAAGATAACTACTCGGCACATACCACTGTGTCAGGAGAATAAAAAATAAGATGGAAAAATTACAGATTGTTCCTGATGAACCTAAATGATTATCTTTTAAATTAAGGAAGATGAAGAAGATAGAATAAAGTTCTTTGGGCAAAATATTTTCTCTTACCAACAATTACTTCTACTGCCACGGGGAAATCATCATCATATCCCAACTCTTCTTCCTCTTTCAATTCCTCTTTCTTTTTTAGCACCATCGGGTAGAAATATTGCCATTCCTCAATCAATTTGCGGGTGGCTGGGTCTGACATTTTATATGCTTGGCCTGTTAGCGTGCCATTTAAGCCATATGGACTCACCAGAACTATGCAGGGAGAAGAGAACAAGCTACACATTAGAAGAGAAATTCTGCTTATGTGTGATGCTGCATACATTGTAATTTTAGGATAAAGCACAATACCACTTAATGTACATTGCATTTTATTTCTTTTAAAGTATGACTTTTAAAGATTTCTTATTTTGGTATTTATTTTTATATGCCTCTCAAACTTATTTATTTTTGAGGAAAATCAGGCATCATATTATACTATCAAGTCTATCAACACATAATATATGTAAACTATCTGAATATTAAAGCACATACACATTTGATAATGACCTATACAATGTGAATACTGAATCTTCCATAACAGAAGAAAACTATTCAATATATAATGCCCTAAATCCACCAACTGAACACTCTGTGGTTACTGAGACTTCTTAAATATCTGTGGTAATCAGTGAAGAATATATAAATAAAACTTCTAATGACAGAAAAGGTTTAATATTCAGAGCTTGAAGTATAATGTTCACTATAATTTTAGTTATATGACTATTTTGGAGGTCTGAAACAACTTAAAAACATGAAAATTTTATTTAATTCAAAATAAGGAACTCAAAGTCCTTCCATTTTCGTTAGGTTTTTTATCTTACTGTTATTTTCACTGAGTTAGACATGAAAATATAGTTGACATGTTACTGTGAGTAACCCAGTCAGTTCCTAGCCCCAGGGTATTTAACCCCCCCCCAAAATACTTTTCAGGGTATAAAAATTACTATTATTTTAATCCTAAGTTTTATTTTTTTAAATAAGCATAGTTATTGACATGTCCTTTTTGTTGTTTTTTTCCCTTAACAGTCTGGTGATACGTCACATAAATCAGGAGTGGAGTATTAGTCATGAGAGATTAGAGCACTCGCCTAGCAAGTGTGAGACCCTGGGTTCAATCCTCAACACCACATAAAAATAAATAAACTAAAGGTAAATATTATATATATAAAGAGCCTTTTATTTATTTTTTGCATTAGTCTACTAGGAAATTTTCATATTAATTTGTATAATTATGTTCAGCATAATTATATATAAGGCAGCACCTTCTACACCAACCATCATAGGAACTAAGCAGGAAAATGTCTCTCAGAAGTTTTCTATGATTTGAATATTAACAAACAACAAAGATTTAAAATTACTGGTCAATAGAGACCTGGCATTCCTAATATGATCTTTCCCCACTTACAAGATTAAAAGTCACTTCTCTCATGATTAGCAATTCCTTCTGTTATTATAATAAATAAATTCTTTTATTTTGACTAATAAAGTATAAGAAGACAGATTATCCTCTGCGACTTCATACTCAAGAACCCATAGTATTTAACTAAGTCTGACAATCCATAATAGCATATATTACATAACTTATAAGTGTACATTTTGAGAACTGGATTGTTTTAAATTTTATTGTAATTCATACATAAAAAAACAATTTACAGAAGGATAAAGTACATGTGTGTTTCGGTGGGCTATCGATAATAATTGGGACATGAATAAATGAGAATTCAATGTTCCGATGTATATTTTTTAAAAAGGCTTAATTAACTTTAGGGCAAGAAACAGATTCATTTGTCAAAATAGGTCAGAATAGTATGTAAAAAACAAAAAAATAAAATATGAAAGCTAAATACTCTTTTTAGGCTGCTATAGTGATTAAAATATTTTAGTCAAGTCAGTTTAAATATCAGTGTTTTAAAAATTATATTGATCTAATAAGCCTATTTCAAACAGATATCTCTAGTAATAATATATTAATACTGAATCAAAAGATTTTTCCATATGGCTCAACCTAATATTGTAACACTTTAAAACTATTACTAATAGAAAATTCTGAATTGCAAAGACAAAAATAAAGATTTAGAATGTTCAGTCAATGAAAAGGACATAAAGCTATTTTAGGATATCTAGGTGCTCAGGCTGAGAATTAATGAAAATACGAATGAACTAAGTAAAATTATTAACCAAAAACTTATTAACAGTGTAGCCCTACAATTAAAGAAAATAATGAAGATACTAACTGAAGAAACTACACCCTGTATATCAACTCTAGAAATTTTACTTTTGGTTGAAATTTTACATACCAAGTTTAACAGTAATCTTTACTAAGTCATTATATTACTGTAACTTTGTTAACAAACACAGAGATGAAACCTTTTCATTTACAAAAGTTGTCAATACTCATTGGATTATATTTCTCAAATACTTATTGATTTATTTTGTTGTGAAATTCTCTACCTCATATTCTTTATTACAACTTCACATAAGACCGTGTTATATATATGATATGCTTCCACAAAAAGCTACTAATAATACTTACTTGTGAAACTAAGTTGTTCCTTTTTTCTTCAATAACTGACCCTTGTGCTTACCTTTCAAATGCCCATTTAAGATAACACCTCCACCTGCAAAGCCTTCTGGGGCAAGATGGCTATCCACTTGATGGCCTGGTGGTGGGCACGCCAGTGGGGGGTGGGGGCGGGGGGAGACACCATAGAGAGCAGGAACATCACTGATTGCTTACCTTGAAATGGTGCAGGTGAAGACTGAGCCATGTGTATATGTTCCTCACTGATCAAATAAATTGGCTGATGTTGGGCAATCTCCACACTTGTGCATACATTACTTTCTCCATGAAGAAAAAATGTAAATGCACAGGACAAATGTTCACTAAAAAAGGAAAAAGTTAGAAGTTAAACTTTAAATTTTGGTAGAAAACAGGTGCTAGAAACAGAAACTACAGAGGAGATACAGTTCTACTTTACCAGCCATCCAGCACAAAGTTGACCTCTTGTCAACTGTGGACAACACATAAATTTCTATTTGATTATGTACTGATAATATAAGAAAATAATAACTTGTTCACAAACTAAACTAAAGCTGCCAGACAAATCTGATAATTTAGATATGTTGCATTCTGATCTTTCCAAGATTACTGTGCAGTATGATTTGCATAAAATCTAACTCCTATGTCAACTATAAACAAAGATCAGGAAAAATCAAACATTTTCTACCTTTCATGTCTAGTACATGGAAGGTAGTTAAAACTGTGTTAAGTCAAATTATGTGAGAAAACTAAATTTAAAAGGCTTATACACAATGACTCATGAACAAGATAAAAAGGCAAACTCCTGAGATGTCTGAACTGGCTCTTAACTGATTCTAGGGATAATGACAAAACAGTTGGCCTTTGGTAAAACAGAACAATAACATAAAATTTGCAAGTTTACAACATTATAATAAGGTTAAAACTGTTGATATAAAAACAGAAATTAAGAACGCTGTTGTATATAATTTCCTAATATACAATTGTTAAGGTAATCGGTATCTAAAGAAACTGGTAATTTTATTATAGTAAATGTTTACAATTCACTTCTGATCACCAAAAAATTATTGAAGCATTCCACTTCTGTTTTCTACACAATGAGCTAAAAACTGATTAAAAAAAAAAAGGGGGGAGTTTAGTAGAGAAAAAGAATTTCAATACTACTATAGTAGCACATTCCTTCAAACTTGTTAACTTTGGCCCTCGGCCAGGCATAACAAATCCCCATTCCTCAAAATAGCTCATAGGAGCACTTGCCCGATAAACCAAAATCACATTACTAAACAAGGCCAGGAAACCACCATTTTAAAAAATCATCTCTAAGAAGTTTTTTCTGTTTAAAAGTTCTTTAATATATCATAAAGTATATTCTGAGTACTACTCATCTTTAAGTTTTATTTTTAATGTAAAATAATAACGCTTTAAAGAAAATGTGAAATGAAAGTGATAAGAATATCACCCTATCACACAATGATATATACATATTCTTCTTTGATACATATGTTGAAATACTGACTTTTTTGGTTTTACTAGAATAATGTGAAATTTCATCAATAGGACACATGCAGTCTTGGTATGGGTATTCAGTATAGCCAAGCAATATAGTAGCTAAAATTGGTGGGGAGAGGCAGGGGTTTAAATCTTTGACACCATACTTCGAAGTTTCAAGTTCAGCATGTGAGGAAAATTTGCACATAACCTAAAGGTACATAGGAATCAAACAATATTAATAGTAAAAATGTTCTTCCTTTATGATAATGACACTAGAAACACAATATTTCCAACACTCAACATGTATAGTATATAATAGAACCAAAATACAGTTTTACTGATTGTGGACTGGCTAATCTTTTAGCTATAAATTTTAGCCAAGGATTTGAAATGACTCATCCTTTTCTATCCCAGTATCCTGTGTATTCAGTAACTTAATTTAAAGAAGCTGGTGGGAGTTCCAGACATAGAATGTAGCTACAGAATATGTTCTCTATTATTCTAACCTGTGTGTGAAAATAAACTCAACCAACATTTAGCTATCAACTAGTAAATACAAAGAATGATGCAAGTACCTATTTTTAATATTGACAACTCTTAAAAAAGTTTAAAAGAGACAACTAAAAGAAAAAAGAAAAATGGCAAGTCATAATACAAATGTACCAGAGGCCATCAATAACTGTATACTTTCTGGCAAGTTACTGCATCTCTCTGATAATTTCCTTATAGATAATAAGCAACTGTTAGCACAGACCGCCAGGCCCCCAGAGGTTCTGATTCAGGAGAATTGAGAGTGATGTGGGCTGGAGAGGCATTTCTAACAATTTCTCAAGCAATGCTGCTACTGTTCCAGGTCTAAGAACTACACTCACAGAATTACTGGATTTGAAAGTAAGTAAAACCCTCTCTAGCAATTAAGTTCTATTTTTTTCCCCCAGTGATAACATGCAGTAAGAGGTCAGACAGAAATGACAATACTGATTCTAGGAAGTAGAATTCCACTTTGACCTAGCAATACCACTTCTAAAAATTTATGCCACAGATAAAACTACTGAGCAGTTTCTGATTACAACCCTCTCTTAGTAGTCTGAATACAGCCAAAATAGCCATCAGTAGAAGACCTGTTAACTGAACTATGGCATATCCCTACAAAGTAATATTGTGCAGCCACTTTAAAGGAAATGATCATACTACCATGGAAAAACCCCAACAAAAACTGTTAAGAGAACGAAAAAAAAACAAGGTTCAAAATAATATGAATAATATACTTTCATTTTTATAAAATGAGAAAGGGGGGAATACATGCACAGGAATTTGCTTGTTAGTGACATAATTTTTTTTTCCAGGAACAATTCACTTTAAAAAAGCCTAATAACACTGGGCTGCTTTGGGGAATGAAGGAGCATGACTAGGTGAGAGATAATTTACAATATTCTTTTGTATTGTTCAATGTGTGGCCACGTTACACAGAGAGCAATGGAGGGAGGATCAGAGGAAGCATCTGACTCTGTCCTCGTGCAATGTGCTTGCTGGCCCATTAGAGGAACTCATGATGCTTCAGCTTGTCATACCTGGCTCTTGGCTAAGATCATCACTGATTTTGATTCTATATCCAACATATTGGTTATCTGATCAGTAAGCCATCAATATCTTTATCCATGGCATTGCTTCAAATAGTGAAAACGATCACACCACCTTGTGATACATGTTGGGAGAAAACTGCCAAGTTATAAATTCACCAGAGTGTTGTCACCCATTTACTTTTTCTTGTCCATAGACATATCTAAAAGATATGCCACATCTTGATAAAATGAAGTTAGATAACAATCATGCTTCTCTGTTCTAAAAAACCTATCTAAAAATCAAATTCAGGTGGTTTTATACAAAGACTAGCTTCTCCTACTTTACATACGACAAAAATAGAGCTAAAGAGTTTAGCTTATCCAATGACACATTTAGAGGCACAAGTGGATTAGCCTTCAAATTTAATGTTCTTTCCATTAGTTAGTTCATGTATAAACACAGTTGTTCATTTAAATTCCTACCAACTGATATTTTATATTGGTAAAATGAGATCAGATTTTAATGAACAGTGAAAATAGGGAACTCTACAAGTATAATTAAAGGCATATGATGATGTATAGAGGTATTTTAGAGTTAGAAGATAAATCTTTATTTCCAATTCCTTATCTATTCTTGCTGCTTTTCACCAATCACCCACTTTAACTTGAACCTTTTTTAATCACTCAACTCTGTTTCAGATACCCTCATTATTTGAAAACTGAAAGGGTCTTTTACAGATTATCAAAAAGATCAGCCTCTAGATCAGAGGAAAGGCAGAGTATGAGCCAACGGATCCAACAAGTTCAGAGCACAGCTGGGCAGAGCTTGGGTCCTCCTCAGCACAGTGTATAAAGTGCATCCAAGACTTTCTACTTTAGAAACACTGCTTTGCTCCTATACAATACATCCTCTCATTAACATAAACACACACTATGCAATTTAAACCAGCCTCTGCATCAAGTCTACTATCTTCCCTTACTGTAGTAGTACAGATGATAGTACCAAATGATTATTCAGGATCAAAACAATATAAGTTCACTCCAACTAAAATTGGAGCCTTGCTTTTTTTTTTTGGTGGCAATGCTGGGGATCAAACTCAGAGCCTCCTGCATGCTAGGTAAATGCTGTACCACTGAGCTACAACCCCAATGCCAGCCACGCTTCTTGACAAGGTATCACAGGTCTTCTCAACACTGATGATTCTTTTCTCTTTACTCAGCAAGTCTAGTCTGATTCAGGTAATTACTCAACTTCTTTCCGACCTCAAACACATTTGCAATTAAACCCTATCTCACTTTTCTCCCTAGAGTCCTAGATATTTCTTTTTCTTTGTGAAGCTGCTCCCATCCTCATCCTCTTTCACTTATAATCTTCATTCTTTCCTCCATTTGCTTCAGTAAAATCATCCAAAAGAATGAAAATAAAAGGTAGAAAATCATATGTTACACGAATCCTAACGAAAATAATACTAGTTTATAGAAATAACAATAAATAAAACATGTTTTAAGCTTAAGTTCAGATTTAAAAAAAACAGGAATTCAACGGGAAATTTAAACAATCATAAATGTATTACATATAGCTTAAAAATATATGAAGATTTTTTTTAAAAGGTTAAGAAGAAAGTAACAGATTTAAAATTAATATTTAATATATTTTCCTCATAATTTAATAAGCAAGCTATTAAGAATACAAAAGTTTAGAATGAGAAACATATATACATGTGTGTATATGTATATATATGTTGGCTTTTCATAAACAGAGAACCAATTCTCTTTCCAAGAACAGAAGAAAGGTCTCTTAAAATTGAATGGGTAATAGGACCCCAAACAAGTCTCAAATTTCAAAGAAATGATGATATCATATATATTACACACTCTCTAAAACACTATGTTTTAGATAGACAGCAATAGCTTAAAAATAGGTTAAAATAAAATCCTTTTGTTTGAAAACCTAAACATGTACTCCTTAAATAAATCATAGGTTACAGAGGAAATCACAACAGAAATCACAAAATATTTAAAACTAAATGAAACCAAAGTAATACATGTCAAAATCTGAAAGAAAACAGTACTAAGAGAATAATTTACATACCTAAATGCTGAGGAAAAAGTCTAATAATTCAAATCAAGAAGTTGAGAAACAAAAAAAAGTATAAACACAATACAAAAGAAGGATGAGAATAATAAAATCCAGTCTGACCTGACTATAACCATCCTGGGCAGTGACTGTAGCGCCTGCCTGAGTACCCCACTAGGCTTCCCAGGCAGGTCCCCAGCTTACTGTGAATGAA